TTAGACCGATATCTGTCCATGATGTTTACTTTTAGATATCACAAAATGATGACAAAGCGTACTCTGGTTTCTGTTTGTGGATCCTTCTGGATTTTCTCTGTTCTTCCGACTTACTTTATATTTTACGATGAACAATCAGCTTTTGGTATATACTGTGGGATTATGTACTTGTCACCGAGCAACACTATAAATATAGTGCCAAAATGTATTTTTCTGATTTTACAATTCGCTAATATATTAATGTTTATATGTCTATTTTCTCAAATTTCTGAGATATTGATAAAAGGTAAAACGAATGTCAAGACTAATACTGGACCCATAAGGAAACTCTCAATAATCATAGGAGTTTACCTATTCTGTACAACACCCTACATGGTTATCTTAGTTTTGCTAGGAGGGTATCATTCGAAATATATCGGATTAGCTCATGCTGTGGCTATGGGACTTATTCTCATCAACAGCATGATAAACCCTATTCTTTATGTTTGGAGGTTTGAAGAAGCTCGCTTTCAGCTAAAACTGTTTCTTTTTTTCTGGAACAAGGCAAAATTGGAGGAGATAAAACGCAGCAGAAACAGAGCTACTGCAACATATAGCATAAGTCTTATAAGTAGTAGGAATACAGGAAAAGATCATAATGCTTTTAAGAAAACCAGATAAGATAAATGTATCGCTTCTGCAATAAAATAACAACTGAAAGCGCAACAGCATTACGTCAAAAATTCATTGACGTGACAACCTTTCACAATTTTATGGGGATATATTTGTTAGAACTGAAAGACAAATACATGAAATATGGAGAAAACGAACAATATTCAAGCTCAAAGTCCGTTTAGAATTGCAAATCGGGAGCAGAGCAAACACCGACCTCCAAAAACATCAGAGATGCGATCAGGTGCCATGGGGGAGTGAGCATCCCCTGCGACCGGTCACACATTATATATTACTAGTTTTTATTCTATACGGCAGTATATTGACGAGGCAATGCACGCTGGAAGAATGAAGGCGTGCGCAAAATTAGAGCATCTGGTCAGTTGCTGATAAGAAATTATCAGACTACAAGAATGTAAATTGAACGAAGAGAGGAATCAGAGTTGTTCTTCTTGCCATGTCAGATGTTTTACATAAATTAATTTAATGCTGTAAATTAAGATTTTATTTGCCATTATTTTCTGTGAAATTTGATTCATGTAATGTTGATAAATGTATAATTTTTATTGAGTGTTTATTTGATATTATTACATATTTCCATGCGTAATTTCTTGAAACGGCTTACTTGCGAAAAATTCATTCTGGCATATATCTTCATGAGTAAAGATTATGTAAAGCAGTAACCAGAATTTATGGAACATTTTATCTCGCTTTTGAATACCAAACAACTATTTTTCGAAAATTGTGTGTTCTGTAAATTTCTAAAAGATAAAATGAAATCTAGATATATCAGTCATTTTTATATGATAGCTATTTTCGTTCTAACTGTTTCCACATACATTTGTTTTAATTCCTTTTTAATATTTGTTTTAGGATATATTGTTGCCGTTTGTTTTTGATTATAATAAAGTAATCCTTATAACAAAAATGTGTTCGGCCACAATTATGGAGTGTCCATCCTGTGTTAAACAATATTGTCTCAGTTTTAATTGCATGCCTTATGAAATATTTCTTTTAATAAGATTGTGCTAGTTCATATTCCACTTAATATGATGTCGTAAAATATGAATTCTGTCGCATGTTTATGCCTCCCAGCTGATTCTGTACACATAAGCATAATCATCACGAGAACGATCAATTTTTAAACCGAGGCAGGCTGCTGACAAATTGTTGATGTTACGGAGCGTTTAATAATCAACATTTAACCGACGCAGCCCACTGACAAATAGTTGATGCTACGGAGCGTTTAATGACTAGCAGTTAACAAATTCTTTTTGTTTTGTTATATTGGCCTCCTTTGCAAATACAATCGAAAGTTGGTTCGAAATTTGTCAGACATTTTTCATATCAATTATTAGGCCTTTTTTTTTTTTTTTTAAATTTGACTACAACAGACTACTTTGTTTACCTGATCACTACCTGTAACCTCAGCTATATTGTCCTTATATAGAAACAACCACTTTTTTGCTTGTGGTGAATAGTTGATAATGAATCCTGTTCAAAATCGGTCGAAAGGGTAAAGATTTAAACAAAAAGTAGCCCAAGAAAGGCACAATAGATTTGAAAGAAATATGAACAAAACACAAGTACTTTGGGTGTGGACCACCCTTTTTTCGACCTCGGGCGAAAATGTGGTTCACCAAATTATCATGAACTACTGTGTTGAGCGGGGTATGACACATGACCATAAAGGAAAAAAGATGGAAACCATGAAACGACACAAAAACATACCTCGGACACTAGTTTATACCGTCCTATAAAAGAAGTGGACAGGTTAATTGTCCAGAATTTTTTTCACTCATATGGAGACTTCACCATATACAGGTGAAGGGCTTCAATTTTAGACCTTTACTCGGCACTCAGGGCCATTGAGCATTGTGGGTTCTTTATTGTGCCAACACCTACCGGGACATGAGACCTCGGTTTTTAAGGTCTCATCCGAAGGACCCGCAAATTTCACTTCAAAGTGCCGATTGCTTGGCGAAGGAACAGTCGCTACATATTTTTTTTATCGACTTAGGTCAGTCGCGGCCGTGATTCGAACACACAACTTTCCGATAACGGAGCGAGCGCTCTACTAACTGAGCTACCGTGACGGCAATATGGCATGAAGGACAATTCTGGTAATATGACGTCATTAATTTGGTACATTTCTAAATTGTAAGCAGAAAAAACCTCAAAATGACTCATTTCAGGGGTCATTTCCCTTAAGGAAACAGAGTCCACTGCTGTTGCCCACTTCAATTTTCAGATAAGTTGTGTAAATTCCTTTGAAAAACCTTTTTTTCAAAATTTTTCTGGGAGATTTATGTGTTCTATATTACCTGAAAGAAAATCCGACTGAAAATTGATGTCTTTGGCAACTTTTTAAGAAAATACGGTAAAGGCACAAGTTAATGACGTCATAATTAGCATTTAGGAGGTCATATGAGAAAAACGATTTGTATGTTTTAACTGCATGTAATTTTAATGATTCAGAAAGGAGGAGTTTAATTTCTTAGAGCAATTCCACATTTTAGAAAAATACATGTACATGATCTTGCCTTATTAACTTATTAACTTTCAGATAGTTTTTTAGACGGAAAGAAAAATATGGATATTAATGTAATACATTGTACATCATTGTTGATTCATTTCTTTTTAATGCAGAAACTTTAAGGATAGATAAGAATGATTCTATTGAAAGTAGAGTGAATGTCCTTACCTGTATATACAAAAAGATAGTCAGTATGTTATACACTGGTAAAGTTTAATACATATTTATCATGTGACATGAGAGATCAAACAAAGCATGTAATTTGTACAATTGAGGTAAAGTCGCTTAAGCTTATGACACCAAGAGGTACAAAATAGACTTACAATACAATTCTTATTATTTACAAACTCTGTATTTGAATTAATACACAGGAACACAAAAACGATTTTGTCCATCCATTACATACACGTTTTGTTAATGAAATAAAGTTATATTTAGTGAAGTTATTTTATTCAATTTAAATGCACTGGAAATTACTGTGAACACACTCTAAACCTTATCACACCGCATGAATATATAATTGGAACTATGTGTACTTTTAATTCTCTTGAAAAACCAAAAAGATTTACAACATCATTTTAATTATCGTAAAAATATAACATTTTTTACGCTTAGATTAAATCACTTCGTCAAATACATTTTTTCCTCGCAATATTTGTTTAAACTAAACTTTGTCCCAGACAAAACAACAATTCTTGGCTCTTCCGTTTATTACCCACATTAGTTCTTAATGACTCTAAATTAAGTGCTAGCATTATGCGCTAACATGTGGTATTCAATTTGTAGGCACGACCAGGTGCTATTATATCCAAGAATAATAATCCATGCTTTAATCGCTTGGAATGACTGCAATGCATATTCTTCTTACACAATATATAGAAGCGCATATGTACATTGAATATGTATAAATATGATTATGTGACTTTTATTTTGATTATTACAACGATAGTTATATGAAGAAATATGTTCGAACACTTGCTGAATATTTAAATGATTAGACCACATGACTAAATAGGGATGTCCAGGTCGGACACACGTGACGTTATAGTTTGACAGTTTGTATTATGCTATGGATTCGAGTTTTTCCTAAACGAAATAACGATTCCTGTGCATGATGATCATCCCACTTCTCCATGTGCTCTTCTATATAAATGCAATGCTATCTGGACTTTTATGACCCATATTTTGCTTCTCTTCTTTTTACGCTCAACCAGTACTACTTACGACAAACATGACAAAGTTTGAATTTAACTTCCATCACGATGCTATTTGTATACAATGCAGTTTAGTATGGAAAGGTTTTAAATATATTCTTTTTATGTTTCAAGTGACCCTACAAAATATTCTCTTTTTTTAAAAAAATCTTATATGAATATCTTTAAAGAATCCTAATCTAAGGATAGAAATTGTTCAAAGTTGAAACTTTTTTTCGCGAAAAAACTCAAAATATTACAAAGTAGATACTAGAAATATTGCATAGACTATATTAATGACAAGGAAGGACGGGTCTTGAAATAGAACTCGTAAAATACAGGTAATTCAAGGTAAATGCAAGACGGAGATCAGACGATAATTGTTATTAAAACATATTTTACTCCTTTTGTTCTATACTTAATTATCAAATGTGTGCAAAACGGGAACACACCATTTTAATTACGCATACTGTTGTCTTTAACTGAAATTATTGATTCCTGTATTGGGAGTGCTAGATTTGGACATTGAATATCATTTTTCCAACTCTCACATTTTTCACAAAAAATAAAAACGTGTTTTGACTTCCCTTTTAAAATAAAACAAGAGAAAAATACACACACATATATGAATTTAAAAAAAATAATCTAAAAATAAGGGAAATCACACGTAGAGAAAATATCATAAAACATAGCTATGAAAAATGATTCGTCTTCACTCGCAAAATTATCTTTCGATATATACACTCCTTTCGATACATCTATATAAGAATTTAATCATCTTTCACCACATCTTTTCGTAAAATTATTTTTCACTGATCCGCTACTTTAACTGGTCCATCCACTCGCGATATCTTAGACATTCTTGATTGTCTTTTCAACAAAGCAGTTCTCCTTTTGAACTCATCAACCTGTTGTCTCTTTTTCCGTTTAAAAAATCCGACCTGAAATATATTAAAGGTGGTTGTACAAGCCTTTAAGAAAAAAAAAAACTCCTTTAAAGAGTTTGAAGTCACTGAATATAATAACAAGGTGTTTTTGTGAAATTGTTCTGGGTTTATCAAAACCTTTATGCTTCGATCTTTTCACATATAGTTTTCTACAATTTAATTATCCTATAAGCAACTGAAAATAAAACATTTTCATAGACAGTTCACAGGGCAGTGTTTTATAAACTTAAACCACTGACTATTCAAACTTCGTCTTCTTTTGTCACTTTAATGCTTTCGTTCCTTAACAATGATTAAAACAGTATATACTTTGTAAAGAAAAATGCTCTCATTGATATTTTAAAATGTTACATTAAAAGTTCATACCTTCCATAAGATAATCCCAATAATGATTAAAAATACAAATCCGCCCACGCTACCGCCGATGACCACTCCGAGATCAATTTTTCTGGTTTCAAAAACAATCTTTTTCGGAATAATTGTAAGCACAATCTGTAACACAGTCATATTAGATTTATAAGTGGTACATGTTTTATATTTATACAAGGTTTAGTGTTTCTACAAGTATTTAGCCTTGTTTTCAAGCTCAAGCTACCTTTCTGAATAAATGAGTAGAGTGAATTATATGGTAGATGCCTTACCTCTCCATTTGTCATTCTAAGGTTGCCTTCGAAGTCTGAATGGTTGGAAATCAGTTTTCCCGATGTTATATATTTAATAACAGGGGCTTTCTATGCAAAGGGAGAAAAAAATAAATCAACATTTATAATACGTAATGCATGTTTTGTAGTCCCTCTGTGGTCAGCTGCATGTAAGTTTTTATTTACTTTTCTTTCAAATTCTCCAAATTTTATGTACGACAACAGCTGTTTTTATATTTGTCTTTCTTGCTATATTTTTATAATCAAGAATATTCTTTTTGCGTCTATAATTATTCATATATTTCAATGTTAAGAAACATTAAATGTTTAAGGCAGCTAATAGCTCATGTCACCTCAAGAAGATGTAAGATATTTGTTGTTAGATTCAAGGTAAGCTTTATATCATCCAAGTTGTCTCGTGCAAGTTTCTTTATTTTACACTGGAGGAGATGGCACTTTACATCTTTTTGGGAACAATTCTGAAATGAGCTCAAGGATAAAACGCATGTGACATTTATTTAGAAAAATAATAATTCTGAAGAAACGATTTCCAATTACTCACAATAAATAAACTATTTTGCTTAGTATCCACTTGGGGTTTTGCATCAGGTTGAACCTTTGATTTCACCTCTTTGTCTTTGACGAACATATCAGCATTTGTTGTGAGATTACAAATACCTTTATCGTAGTCAAGTTTCTACAATAAACAAAAGGAACATCATATGACAATACAAATCTTATAAGAAAACATGACCTCAGGTTCGTCAATTCGCACAGTACTCATCCTTATTTTTCCTAGTGCAGTTATCTGCAATATCTACATAAAGCTTTCAAAGTAATTGAGATTCTGGTGAATAAGTAACACTAATTTATTAAACGCCAAACAGTGACATTTTACGTTTAATTCCTTCCCCTCATCAGAAAGCGTATTTTCTACATTAAAATCGACTACAAAGTTCTGAAATAGTAGTGAGAGGAAAAAGTTGTACATACATGTATACAGTTTGAATAAGTTCAATATCTTTACGCACACTTAAGATCTGTACACCAGCAATAGACCATGGTACACCTATCTGTAGAATTAAACCATCAACTGTACTTGGTCCTCTATTATAAACACGAAAAGTTTCTTCATGAATCATCATCTCTGAATTCGTGTCCATTTCTCTCTGATCCTGACTAGGTTCACTATAAAGTAAAATTAAAATTCTAATTCTAAAAGTTACATTTTTAAAAACGTAGTATGATGCTTTTTTTTACTATACGTTTATCTTTTAATTTCAGTTTAGATACCATATTCAGCCCCGCGTAATTTATAAGCTCAAATAGTTTTCCCTAGGATCAAGGTCCATTCCTAATATAATAAATTAACATTATCTTACCAAAATACGTCAAAAAATTAACTATATGATATCTCATGTCAAGTAAATAACTACGACGATTCTACCATAGGCATTTACAAATTGAATTAGTCAAGCTTACTAGTACTATTTGACTGATTTTTTTAATTGACTATATAAGGTGAGTATTTTATTACTTTGTTCATTTATCATACTCGTCTCATTTTTAATGAAATGTAGCGTCGAAAACGACAAAACTGCGGATGGAAACCATGGGAAATATAGGATAATAAAGTATTTCTTATCTTTAAAAACGGAAAAATGTTAATATTGATATGAAAATTCCTTTGCATTAACGGTTTGAAACTTTGTAATTTTGCAATGGGACAGATTTGTCTTAAAGCTAGATATCAGATAGTTACTCTGATTTTTTTAAACACGGAGGACAGACAAACATGAAAAACAATATCTTATCATATTGTACAAAAGAGTCTTGTGAATGTACAGAAAATAAAAATTACAGGTACTATGTCTAGGCAAGGGAAAAAACAGTTACTCACAGTCAAGAGACAATTTTCAAAAAAAGCAGTGCAAGAAAAATAATTGAAATATGAAGGGAAGTAAAAAAAAAAAAAAGGATTGTTAAAAGAAACACGATATTCCTAGATAATTAAAATAGCAATTCTCTAAATGTTATATGAAAAAAGTAAAATGATAAACTTTGCTTCTGCAAAAAGGTACTGCCTTAAAAGAAAAACACGGATACAAAGACGGTTGCAATGGCAAGAAACTAAAAAAAAAGATTTGGAAATTCTTATATTTCCAGGTAAGAAATATTATTTTGTGAATTATGTTTTTAATTAGTGAAGAAAGATAAGGTACGACAAACATTAACAATCACTTTTAAAATATATTTTTGTTGTTTCAAGACACAGCATCACATTGTAACAATGTGACTTCAATTTGTGAGAAAAACCACGTGAGATTAAAAAGAGCACGAAGCTGTACAGTAAAATACAGTTACAGGAATCATGCTTGAAATGAATTCACGTGTACAGCGAAATTAATTCCTTCCCTGTCATTTAAAAACGTATTTTGAACCCCGAATGTAACAAATTAAAATATTCCTTTTTGGAACCTTAGTACGTTTTATTTAATTGGTCAAAGCAAAAGTTAGCGAATAGCACTTTACATTGATATTACGATCTATCGTTAAGTCTTGTGTTGCCTGACGTCTTGCAAACAAATTGTTAGGTTATTATTTTATACTGAATTGTCTAAGAATTTTTTTCCGTTTACACAGTGATGACAAGGGACACATGGCTGGACAGAGGTCCGTGTTTGCCCTGCTCACAATTCGTATTGTTTACACAGTGATGACAAGGGACACATGGCTGGACAGAGGTCCGTGTTTGCCCTGCTCACAATTCGTATTGTTTCATTGGAGCCTGATTACTGTTTGTTTTCCTCACGGTTCACTTGTTCACAGCAACACTAGTAGTATACCTGAACAATTTGGGGCTTGTCGTCTAGAAACAATTTTTTTCGGTGTCGATGAAAGTTCCTCATCTCGATCTTTATACATTTTAAAAATGTGTTAAAGAAAATTGGAGACAACTAACAAATGCTAAAATTGCTTACTTGTTTTGTGTCGAAGATATATCTTTCAAATTTGCATATTAAGAATCAGTATAACTTTCGTTACTATTGTAGCATTTTAAAAATGTACAAGGTAAGGATAACGTACAGTTATCGATCACAAAAAATCCACAAACAATACAAATATGTGAGGGCATAAAACAAGGACCCCTGGAAATTCCAGAGATGGGATCAGGTGCCCAGGAAGAGTAAGCAAAAAGAAACAAACTTCTCAAATGTTTCGCAAAACAGCAACAAAATCCATCTATAAAACTGATATACTTTGATTGAAATAGAGATAACATCATAGATACAAAACACAGCTCACACTTAATAACATTCTTCAGTAACTTTGGTATTGAAACAATACTTATTTCATTTAATGGACTGGCTCATCACAAAAACGGTAAATATTTCTTATCTTTAAAGAAAGTTTATTTAAACGGGATGTTGAATTGGTATGATATATTCACCTCTTATAATCTTTGACTTCGTCGTGTACCTTTACACATCTCTGCATACATTAATATTTTAACATCAGTGTGTAAAACAGCAAGACATTAAAAAAAAATATCAGACAGTGTGAAGAAATACGGTGGCGACAAGGTAATACGGAGGCACGAATAATCCAGTCTCTCAACCTTTGGATGCATTTTTTGAAAACCGATATTTGACACATGTTTTTGACTCGACAGACCAGAATTTTTTTGTTCTTCATTCGGATTTGTACACCACACATAATGTTCCTTTCAAACGTCACTCAATATAATCGAGATGGTTATACTTGGTTTCATATCGATTTGATTTGAAGTCTAACTTGTAGTTAATATAATGAATTTTACCATCGTCGGAACCCATGAGTTTTCTCTCCGTTACACTATATTCTGTTGAATGTAGTGTAACGGAGAGAAAACCCGTGGGTTCCAACGATGTAATTGTACACGATTATGTTGTCATTTGAAAACAATTAAAATTAATTCAAAAACATCTAACAAATCCTTGTTCATAACTCATCAATTGTTGACTTGTCATTTGTTGGCTCCTAAATGTCGGTTATTTATGTACATTATAATTAAGCCGTAGACATGTACAATTCAGTGTGAAAATAAATGCCCCGCAATTTGTACAAAAACGTCTGTCATCTTTATCGGCCGCAGGAGCGGTCGATCTATTTGTGGTTGTGTTAGAATGTGCACATGGGGAAATGAGACGTTACTTTTTCAGTATTTCGATGGAATAATGCCTTGTTGATAACATATATAAATGAGATGAATAAAAGTTTTTGAAATTTGCTTAATTTCAGTTTGGTTTTAATTTTTCATCAGATATCTATTAATTTATTATTTTTTAAAAAGTTGTTATATGAACTGCTCCCCAACAGGAGCGTGTGTAAGATATAAAAACAAAACGTATTAAGTTTCCAGCTATGAATTACAATGCATAAAATAATTAATGAATTGTAACCGTTTTAAGAATGAGTAAATTTTGTTTTCAATACACTACAGTTGCAAATGATTTTTATGCACTTCACATTTATTGTGATATATATCACTGGCATTATCAAAAGTGACAAAGTTCCATGGTATGAGCACGTGAAGTTTTTTGTCAGCATTTGGACACTCATAATTAATAATTTCAGATATTTTTGCATTTGTCTTTGAATCAAATAATTCAATGATAACACATTCCTATCCTTTATTGCGGGCTGACAGACAGAGTGACGGACAGTCTAAAATTAATATCCACTGCTTTTATCAAAAAGTGGGGTCGAAAATAAAATTTTACTCTCAATTTTGTATTAAAAAAATGTCATTTTACAGATTACTCAATCTGCGATCATTGGTTTTTCATACTTAAGTGAGGATCCTGATTACGTGCAAGATACTTTTAATTGTCTTCAAAGCAGACGATTGATTACCTGGAACAGCTAATTATATCTGGGATTTTTTCATTAAGTTTATAGTTATATCTTTGTGATTAAACTTTAGCATAGAAAGCATGTACTGTTACAATGAAAAATGTACTAACAACGCAAAATATAATAAACTGAGATCATCACATTTTGTGTTATTACATTTTGTGTCGATTTCAACGCATAATGTAGTAATGCAAAATGTAAAAACACTATTGGATCATTATATTTTGAGTTATCTAATTTTGTGTCGAAGTTAACACAGAATGTCATATTGCAGTATGTGATAATGTCATATTGCAGTATGTGATAATGTCATATTGCAGTATGTGATAATGTCATATTGCAGTATGTGATAATGTCATATTGCAGTATGTGATAATGTCATATTGCAGTATGTGATAATGTCATATTGCAGTATGTGATAATGTCATATTGCAGTATGTGATAATGTCATATTGCAGTATGTGATAATGTCATATTGCAGTACGTGATAATGTCATATTGCAGTACGTGATAATGTCATATTGCAGTACGTGATAATGTCATATTGCAGTACGTGATAATGTCATATTGCAGTACGTGATAATGTCATATTGCAGTACGTGATAATGTCATATTGCAGTACGTGATAATGTCATATTGCAGTACGTGATAATGTCATATTGCAGTACGTGATAATGTCATATTGCAGTACGTGATAATGTCATATTGCAGTATGTGATAATGTCATATTGCAGTATGTGATGTCATATTGCAGTATGTGATAATGTCATATTGCAGTATGTGATAATGTCATATTGCAGTATGTGATAATGTCATATTGCAGTATGTGATAATGTCATATTGCAGTATGTGATAATGTCATATTGCAGTATGTGATAATGTCATATTGCAGTATGTGATAATGTCATATTGCAGTATGTGATAATGTCATATTGCAGTATGTGATAATGTCATATTGCAGTATGTGATAATGTCATATTGCAGTATGTGATAATGTCATATTGCAGTATGTGATAATGTCATATTGCAGTATGTGATAATGTCATATTGCAGTATGTGATAATGTCATATTGCAGTATGTGATAATGTTATATTGCAGTATGTGATAATGTCATATTGCAGTATGTGATAATGTCATATTGCAGTATGTGATAATGTTATATTGCAGTATGTGATAATGTCATATTGCAGTATGTGATAATGTCATATTGCAGTATGTGATAATGTCATATTGCAGTATGTGATAATGTCATATTGCAGTATGTGATAATGTTATATTGCAGTATGTGATAATGTCATATTGCAGTATGTGATAATGTCATATTGCAGTATGTGATAATGTCATATTGCAGTATGTGATGATCGGTTTTATCTCAGCAAATAAGTGTGTGATTTTTTTCATAACGTTTATAACTATATCTTTGTGATTTAACTCTAGCATAAAAAGCATGAATTGTTACAAATCAAAATATAATAACAACTCTAAATGTAATAAACTGAGATCATTATATTTTGTGTTATTTCATTTGGTCTAAAAGTTAACGCAGAATGTAATATCGCAGTATATGATGATCGCTTTTACCTCAACAAATAAATGCATTTTTCACAGAAAAAAATGGGAAGAAATTGCAATCAATCTTTATTCAAATTTGACTACCTTATCCACAATATTCTTAAATGTCCTTCGGTATACGTTTTACATTGATTCTGAAGGCAAAGTTTATTAAAACAAAATATCTTCATCCTTGTTAGTTGCCATAATAAATGATAACCATATTTTCGAACTTTTAGAAGTTTTCTTGTTTTGAATCATTGTTTTGACCCTAAAAAATATGTTTACATAATTCGATGAAATAAGATTACATTTTATCTATAGCTTATATGTTAAAGCGTTTCTGTTAAATTTTATTGTAAATTCTATAACTTGTTTCGCCTCGGGAAATTGTGCCTCCCTCAGTTTGAAGAGGTATGTATTTACCTCTGATAACACAGAAAATTATTTCAATAAGCATTGATAACATTTGTGTAAATTTTGGTTCGGCACAGAATGTTAGGAACACAAAATGTTAATTTTGATGTAATTATATTTTTCAATGTCGTGTAGTATTGAAAGATTTTTGAGACATCAGGAAATGTGATTTAAAATCGTCTCCAACGACATCTTACTTTAAATATTAAGTACATCGAATGTGTTATTCCATTTTGCGTTAACCTCGATGCAAAATGTAATAATCCAAAAAGTATGTTTCTATAGTTTACGTCACTACATTCTGCATTGGTCTGTAAAAAAATGTAATAATCTCAGTTTATTACATTTTGCGTTGTTATTACATTTTGCGTTGTAACAATGTATTAATTATATCATTATTTAGTATATCCTTCAAATGATAATCTTGTACATACCCACCGACTGATACAACAGCCAGCTGCTTCAGCACTTCGTATGTAATATTAGATCTTTCTCTAGTACTCCGACCGCTTGGAACATACTGCACCGAGATATTAAAATCAACATAACCTGTAGCATCATTGTTTTGTGGATCAATTTTGAAATCTAGACTGATTTGTACCAGCATATGTTGATAGAACGGATCAGTTGTGACATTGCATAGAATTATGGTTGAGTTAGTTTCCTTGCAAATAACCTTTTCTGAATGTACAGATATCACAAGACCAGAATACACTGCTTTTTTAGTTTTCAGAATTTCTATCGTAGTTGCACTGGCTGGGTCACCATGGTTTCTAAGAATGAAATCCATTTTAAAGGTCTCAAATTCTCCATTGTCCTTATGATCATTGATTTCAGCATTTCCAGAAAACTTTGGCTGACATTTTTCATTTTGTGCACATGATGTTCTGAACGTTACCTAAAATAAATCAAAGGGCCATTAAAAACATTTTATCATACCAGTTTAAAATACAATTCTGTATTTGTATAGAGTGCTAATCTTTTCGCCATAAAAAAGGAAATAGCATGGAATTCGATATTTTCATATGATATCTTTAAATCCCTATATTTAATCTGATTTTATGATGTAACGCAAAAAGCATTGGATAGAAATTTCAACTAAATATAAAAACACAGAAGACTTACATTGTTTTGGTGAGAAGTCACGGAACCTTTTCTCAAAATCGGCAAAACATCAAATTCTGGTGTTCTTCCACTCAGAGAAAGATTGACCTTGAACTCTAGGGGTTCAATTATGGATTTAAAGAAAGACATTCCAATTTTCTGAAATAAGTTTCAACAATTTATTCTATTTTGCAAGTTTGGTAATTGATTATTTGTATAAAAAGAAAGGGGGAGAGAGAAAGCAGCAGTTTCTTTAAAAAATGGAAACAGTAGTCATAATCAAGATGAGCTCAAGACATACCGATACGACTGCTTGTAAAGTTTTGCAGGACGATTTATTTCCGTATACCATGAAATCCGAGATATCAACACTGCTTTCATTTCCATCCATATTAATCCTTTTATTGGTCATTGATACGTCACCCCAAAGAGTGAAATTGACATCTTGATGATTTCAAAAACGAAACAATACAGATATACATTATGGGTAAATGCACATTGAATAAAATCCACCTAATAAATGAAAATAAGATTTTTTCTGACTGAATATGAAGATTTACTGTTGATTTATATTTGTGCGCAATAAATTTATTATAGCGTGTTTTCGCGAGAAACACCTCGCTAACTAAAATACTTCGCTTATTCTTCTATTCGTGAAATACAAACCTTAATCAATAGCCAAGTCGCCAATTCATATTCTTGGGACTTGACGAAATTAATTAACTTATATAATTAACTTATATATGTATAGAAAGTATTAGTTATACTTACAGGTGACTGACTGAATTCCTTTCCCTGTGAGATTGAAACAAACTTTTATATCCAGACAAGGATAGTCGTTTCCTTTAGAACAGTTCAGTCCTGAGGAATTCAAAGGTACGGGATTTTGTTGGAAGATAATTTTAGGTTCTATGGATATAATTGGTCGGGATCTTAACACGACAGCCATTCCAGATTTATACGACCCAACGGCAAAGTCTGCAAGTTACATCTGACATGTGAAAATATTGCGATTCCGACCTTTTTTTCAAAAGATGATCTAACAATATTTAACAATATCATTCATCCTAGTTTAAAAAAATACGTTTTTTTTTTTCAAGTACAATTTATGGAATACAGTTTTGATGGTAAAATAGGAGTAAAAAAGTAAAATGAAAAAGAAGAATGTGCAATTTCTAGAAGAAAAAACTACGTGAACAAAACAAAACCTTTCTAACAAATGCTAGTTTTCTACTTACTCTTTAATTCTCAATGTATGAGAACTGATAATTCTTTCAAGAAATATATTTATACATGTAATATAAAGACTATGTATATTTGCTAAAAATCTTTATGTTAATGCAAGTTTATTTGACCACAAAAGCACCAGAGCCAAAGAGATCCCCTTGTTATCTGAATTTAGGTGCTCTTTTTGGTACATGGAAAAGGTAAAGATATCGAACAGATATTAATCTCATAAATCCTATAAAAATACAAATTGAAATAAGAAAAAGATGGACCCCTGGTAACACTAGAACCCAAAAAGTTAAAATTAGCGCCCCTTCTGAATTGATCCGGTAGAATCTGCCAAAACTTATACGAAAGCAATGACCTTACCATTGGTATAAAACTTGTCAGTTAAAGTTCAAATCAACGTAAGTTGCATGTTCAAACAAGGACACTAAAATTATCATAGAATTAATGAAATACTGACTTCAAATGAGACATCTATAAACCCTTAAACATCGTCTTATTTGTCATTAGTCTGTAATGGTTTAAAAATTAGTTGTACACAGAACATACATGTACTCTTGTGTACATGCAGAATCAGTTGATAGTTGAATATTGAGCAGCACAGTTAAGGCTACAAAAAGTAGGCGAGGCCTAATTCATACGGGAAATGTTTACTATGACATCACACAAAAACATCAGTTCTTCAAATTACCACAAAATGAAATGATTTGCTATTTTAAACTGTTGGGTATCTCTTGACTACATCAACACTTAATATTACATGCAGTTGTGTCGTTAGTTAAATTCCACACAACAAGATATAAACAATTCACTGATCGCAATGAACTTCACAATGTGACGTAAAATTTTACGCAGTTTTTATGCAGTGAGAGGAAGATCAAGTCATATTTTATACAATGAAAAATGTATTTTATAATCAAGTAAAATATTATTTGAAGATATATAAGAGGCCATTAACTTAGATGCGATGTCTGTCTCACGATTTTATTCATATACTTTCTGTATATTCCCTAGACAACTGATACTGCCGTATATCTGTATGCAGATTCAGTGGAGGGTAAAAAAGGGTCTTAATTTAATAAATCCAAATATTGCAAGGGCATACCCTCAATGGATCGTGACAAGCTTTTACACAAAAACTCAAGAAGTATTCAGATATGTGAAAAGTGCTGCGAACCTGATGAAATCTCGCAAATAAATTAAGTATATCCATATTTAATGTAGCTGACCAGCAAAATATTCAACATGCGGTCTAGCAAATGGGATTTTAGCAATGAGATAGTAGAATCTATTTAGGTTCACAGCATTTTTCAAAAACTATACAAAGGGTGTTGAAAAGATTTAAAAGTTAAACTTGGTTATGCCCTTGCAATATTGGATTTTATAGATGATCTCAATACTGCAAGTATGTTTGCTAAAATCACGTGACTGTCACATCACGTGACAAGTCTAAATAAAAAATCTAATCGTCCTCAAGATGCAGTTTTGAACCACATTGCATTTGTCAGATATCATTAAAGTCACAAAAAGAATCGCCGATCCCTGCAAAGAATGCATTTATACCTTAAAAAAATCACCGATATTTCCATTTGACACCTTAACTGTACTGCGTGATACATAAATGTGGGAGGTTGAAAAGGGAAAAGATGAAGGCATCGCATCCCATGAGTTCCAGCATATAACCTTAATAAACCTGCTTTAATTATTCTTCCGGATAAATTAAAAAGCATGTTCATTTTGATTTTCTTAAGAGATCAATTTTAAGACTTTCTTCAATTCATTAATAGATGGGCATTCTTTGCAAAAAAAACAATAAGATATATATTTTTTAATATTTCACAATTTGACTTTAAATCTAGGTTTGATTTTTTATAAGCCGACCTACTGATTTAATAACAACAGATCTAAACCATCTTGGCTGACTCGATGGAATACACTTTTAATTCCCATTCGTCTGTTTAGCAAGGCTATTGTTTTTAATTGTATATAGGTTTAAGTTCTTGGCCCTGTCAAGGGGACTAAGCAAATTTGTCTAGGGATTCTAATCATAAATTTTTGTACGTAAGTCGAAAAAAAAATGCAGATTGTGCTATAGAGAATTCTGAATTCAAGAGATTTCTATTTAGTTAAATAGTTTATTTGTTGACAGAAGTCATGATCGAAATCAAATTTAAAATATTATGATTAGTCTATATTGCAAAACTCACCCTTATACTCGTTGTTATCTATATCTTCTTGTGACCGTGAGATATAAAAACCAAACCCTCTCAGGTTAATATTGATGGTTGAAGCATGAATCTTTTGCGTATATTTCCATTTCTCCACACATCCCTTTAAACATCCATTAAAGATGTAAATGGCACCTCTCATGTCGTTTTCAAAGGGTGCTCCGACCGCAACATCTTTTTATCAACAGTATTTCACATATTATTATATTCTGTGAGATTCATTTCTAGTTATGGCTTTTTCAGATAAATAATATAAATCGTTCAGTATTTCAATTTTAAAAAATAAAATAATTCGATCAATTGTAACAAACCTTGGAACGAGTCGTCGTTGATATCCCCTATGCTGCCTACCGCTGATCCAAACCGTCCTGATACTATAAGGTCCCCTGTTATACGTATCCCGATGTCATGAATAATCGTCTATTTTAAAAATAAACTTTACAATAATATCTTGCTGTAAAACAAGTATTTCAATTTTCAAAGGTTGTTTTAAACTTGTAGACTTGTAATCTTTATTTTTCACCGGAATGTAGCTTAAATTTAGTTAGTTCCTAGCTCTAACGACAGTTTTGTGAGAAAAAGTACACTTATAAATACATGATGTATCAATCTTATTACATATCTCATGTGTTAAATGGTTTACATGATAGCTGAGATATTGCATTTAATGTATTGGACATAAGTATACGTACTCCATTATATCCTAGATAGACATACACATTGCCAACGTCAATTATTACAGAGGATTTACTGGACACATTTATGTATTCTAAAGGTGCTCCAACAATGATATCATCTAAACCATCTCCATTGACATCAATGACACTCAGGGATTGTCCAAATCCTCCTCCATTCTTAAGTTTTTTTTAAAAAAAGAAAGTTGGAAACATTGAATTGTATTTTTTAATTTAATTTATTAGGAATTCTACATTTACAGTTTTTTCACCCTAAAGTGTACAATCCAGGTACTTGTTCTTGCCTAAATACAAGTTGCAGATTAAGACTGCAGCCAGTACTTATTGTTACAAACCGCACCCATTCATTACACTGCTTTTAATGAATTTTATTTTTTTTTTAAATTGCGACTACTATTAATTGCGACCTCCGGCATATATATATGACATCTTTAGAAAAAAGGAGGAATATACAAAATATATAGATATGATCGCCTTGTCCTACCTGAAGCCCAGTTATTTGTTTTTGAGGCGCCAGGGAAGGCTTGTTACTTTTAGTTACAATTTTTACGACCTCCATCTAAAAAATAACAAAGGAAGTAAGCATTTCTTCAACAGTTGGATATAGAATTTTAGAAAGGCACTACAAGGATTTTTAACTCGTAATGCCTTCGAATATTTCTGAATAATGCATTCCAGTTTTATAAATTGTTAGATTGAAATTAATTTATTTTGTTTCAGTCGATTTTCCAGGAAAAAAATCTGACAAAATAAACAAAAGTAATAAGATTTATACTGCTATTAAAAAAAAAATAAAAACCAGTCCTATGACGCCCTTTTTGTTGGAAAAACCAGGTGATCCAACAACGTACAGAGTCTCATTTTTGTACTTCATCACATTTAGGGCATATCCTGAAAGCAAGGAAAACATCTTTATATTATATACATGCGTTTAAAGAGATGTGTTTCACTCATCTATCTTACTGTTCACATGGTTACTCGGTCATTGGATAGAACAAGATGAAGCCTAAGCAACTTTATATGATAAGCCCTTTAAACTCTAACTTTGCGTATATATATATATATATATATATATATATATATATATATATATATATATATATATATATATATATATATATATTAAAGAAAAATACCAACAATACAATGGGTTTTATTTTATTTTCTTTACCCAATCTTTGTCAGTAAATCAAAATGAAATTTTGAGAGCTCGGCATCTGATGAAATGAAAAATGCATTAAGTGTAATAAAAATATTGTTAGCAGATAATAGATTAGGTTATCTAATGAAATATGGGGAGATAATGAACAGTATTAGAGCTCAAAAGTCCATTAAACATTACAAAATAAGAGCAGAGCAAACACGGACCTCTAAAACTTCAGAGGTGGGATCAGGTGCCATGGAGGAGTGAGCATCCTCTGCAGACCAGTCACAACCGCCGTGTGCTCCTTGTCATGATCGGGAAATAACGGAAATAATCCGTCGACAATTCAGTGTGTAAATAATGGCCTAACAAAATAGTATGAGAAAAGTCAGTCAGCATTTGACTTAATGATAGATTGTATTTGCTGACAAGGTCATTGTATCGACCATAGAACTTACTTTAAACGAGACTGTTCATATTCTTGTTTCATCAATTTCTTTGTCAGTAACTTACCTCGTTTTAGAAATTGTTCATACGTAGAGCATGCTCTGGCGTATCGAATCAAATGAGAGATATAAACCCCGTATGCAGGTGATAAGGGTATATTGCTGCATAAGTAGGGGGAATTGACGATTGAAAAGTTAAAGTCATCACGTTTATCATAAAGCTTGGTTGTTAGATTACCATTAACGTCATTTTCTAATAAAATATCCAAATATGAAACAGATGTGTTAGACTCTGTGGTATCTTTTATCTCAAGCTCAGCGGGATATATCGTGTCGACATAAGAATGCAAATAGCCATTGTTAATTGACAATACGTCGTCGATATATCTAAATGTCGAGTTGAAGACCACTGCAAGTGTTTTCTATTTTTCACGTAAAAGACTTTTGACAAATTCTGCTTAATATGAATACAAAATTAGGTCTGCTAATAACGGGGCGCAATTGGTACCCATAAGAATTCTAATAGATTGTTGGAAGATCTGGTCTCCAAAAACCACATAGATATTGTCAATCAGACACTCGAGCATCTTTTTAATGTCAACTTCAGAGTACTTATGTGTACAATCAGAGTGCTTTTTAACAAAATAATTTTGTAAATGACCAATGACAAGGTAAGTAAATTAACGAGTTCCATTTTTATTGACAAAGCAGCTGTCAACGATATCAGAAAGTCTGGACTTTAATTTATCGTGGGGAATATGTATATAAAGTTGAAAAGGGTAAGTTTTTATGTTGTTGATTTTGGTAAAATTTTGTGATTTCAGCAGGGACCAGTACGTACTTGTAATCTATCTAATTCTTTTTTCACTTCTGAGTTACTAAATACCGAAGGATAGATAGTTTTCATACTGCCCCTCAATCGCTTAATGTGAGATTTTAACATATATCTGATACATTTAATCCATTCTGACAAAGTGTCAAGGTCTTTTTTTCATGTCTGACCCAACGCCTGGCGTAATCCTGGCAGAATCCATAATATGTATGAAATTACGATGCCAGTTAAAGGATCGGGGTTCCCTATATTTAGGACCTTTTAAAATTTGTGATCTAAGGTCCTCATCATTAACTATATTTACGTCACCAGTAATAACGTGTCCAGCAGGACTATAGTTACAGGGTGAATAAGAAAATGAACACGAAGGAGGATTATGTTTCCGATATTCGATATCCAGGCCCTGTAAAGTTTTCTTGTAATTAAAAAGTTTGGAAGCAATAGTCGATGTATATTTGTAGGAAATACAAGGTGTAGTCTTCAACTTGAAACATGTTGGAATACAAGACTGGACCCTTTTATGATTAAGAATATTACTTATATTAACCGCATCAATTCCTTTGTTGGTATACTGGAGTTTAAGGGGAAAAAAGGGTTGTTTTAGCTGCATTTTCCTCCTTAAAACGTGGCGGTTTAAAAAGCCTATGATTTGCAATATCCATAATCACAGATCCGAGTCTGTATTCTGGTGTCGAGGAATCAAAAAAAAAAAAACTTTCCTTGACCTTTTCAAGTAGACTAATCAAAAGTTTCAAAAGGACAGAGTAAAGTTTGGATTTGATGAAGACCTAACTGTTGATTTACATAACGTAGTAACGAATCAAAAGAGACATCGCGTATTTAAGGTTTATTGTAAGACCGATGTCCATGACTACGTTTATGTCTCTGTGTAAGGTTAAAAAGTCTCATCACATTGACTTTGTTACACTGTGGACTGGAAAGATTCCCAACACTATCGACATTGTCATTGCCTCCATAGGGAAAGGCCGTCCCTAGTTTTCTAATCCAAAATTCTTCTCGTTGTCTACGGATAGGTGTACTCAGTGATGGAATTTTTGTATGATGGTAAATCTTTTCTAGAATTCTAACTTTCATTGACAAAATTGAATGATCTGGTAAATTAAAGTGCTTGTATAGAAGCTGCTGGCCCCCGTTGTTGATTTGAAATCTGTGACCCGATATTCTTTTATGAAGTGAACCCTTGGTTTCACCAACATAAATAAGTCCACAAAGATTACATTCTATTCCGTAGACAACATTAGAACATTAATATAAATAAAGTCATAATATAAACACACTCATTATGAAGCAAATTCACCTTATTGAAGATGTATTACATTCATTTTGAACAACACCTTTTCCTTCCATTCGTTGAATACAATTCCTTTATTCCATTCTCTCTTGTAATCGCAGATTTTATGAAAATTGTATCAAGTTTCCTATTAAATATCTTTGCAATTATATAAAAATCTCTTTTTCTTAGTTTTAGAAATGTTCGGAAGGTCATAATAGACAGAATCAGATAATAAATTAACAAGAACGTACCATAATAATATCCACCAAAGAAACGGGAACAATTGCTACTGTACAGATAATCTGCTGTCTCTGATACATTGGTAAATAACGCCAGACCTCCTGTAAAAATGAAAATTCAATACCAACTTTAATACTGTAAGCTTGAAATTTAGGGGTGGGTGTAATTTACGCTAAATGCACAATAAAAAACCTTCACCCAAGTCTCCCCATCCCCATGAGTACCAACGCCTTTCACCTTTAACTATTTATAATCCCGCTAACGTGAAAGTAACCCCCATTTTGTAATGTGCTTGCTACTAATTCGCATAATTGGATATTTACAAGTTTACTGTACATCATTAAATTAAATTGTTTATTTTCTACCTGTCCTAGTTTAATTTTTTTCTCTTGACAAACTTTTGACACGTCAAAGTTGTTTATCGAACAAAAATAGGGTATGTTATATCAATATACCATTCTTGCACCAATGAAAATGTCAAGAATTTGTGAGGAAATAAAGTTTAGTGAAGCTTAAAATACCGACAGGGAAAATATCTTTTGTTATTTTTTTGAATTACGCTCATCACTGGTTATTTAAATATTCACACAATTTAAAAATAAATGTAGAAAATTATTTTGCATTTTATCTCTAACGATTAATAAATTATACCATCATTCCCGCATGCATTTGGTCCACCGAGTACGACTGACGAGTCATTCTAAAATGGAATTAAATAAATATTTCATTATACTTTATAATTAGATTGGTAAAATAGAAAGGATTAAAGTTTGACAATCATCCAAAATAATCATCATTTTGCTGTCACTAACTTACTAGGATTTTATTTTGCCTAACAATCATCAACTAAATATTTTAAATTATATAAACTATATGTATAAGTGAGTTAACCTAGCCTCAATCGGAAGTTATAATATTAGTAAGAAACCTGTTTAAATCAAACCTCAGCAATTATTGAGAATCCATACATCCCTGAGGCATGTTCCGGGTACTTGTCGTTTACTTTTCCGGCTCTGATATTAAGATATCCCTGCCAAGTCATATTTTTAAAGAATAAGTCACATCCTCCTGCCGTGACGTCTCTATCTAAGAAAAGTCCTCTGAGTGGGGAGCATACCTGGAGGAAAAAAGAAATCTCTCTTTTTCTCATTTACGCGCATACACACGTGAATGCTTGCATACGAGTGTGCGAGCCTGTATTAATTAAAAGAGGATAGGTTCCTTTCCAGAAGAAATACGTAGTATCTATGTGTAGAAAAATTAGAAATTTTAAATGGTAATACACTTCATAGTGTATAAAGAAAGACATTAAAAAATGGACCTTGTCATTTCCTTTCAATGATATTTATTTTTGTGTTCAAGAAACATACCTTATTCAATGTGCATTACCTTGACCCCATATTGAATTTGTTGAATATTACAAAATCAAAACATTTCTACAAATTCAAAATTGTGAATTGTGGTCTTTCGAACCCATGTACGTTTTCAGCACGTAACCTTGGTTCTCAAGGCTGGGCTACCAATGGGTAGAAATTTTTAACAGGTAATGTTCTTTACAGTGTACATGTACATAATGCCATATTTTATTGAACATGGAATTTTTTTATTCAACGCCTTACAATGAAATATTTAACAAACGTCTTTCATTCAACTTCTAATTTTGCTATTATTATATGGAACAATCAAAGTGGAATGCTTCTTGCGTTTTCACTTTCTGGTGGAAAATATAGGTTTTTTCCCCAATGGATTTTTTAAAAGATATGTCCAAGTTCATTTGTAAAGAAGAAAATAAAACTCATACACTTTAGATAGAGTTCTGCCATAATATCAAATCCGTTTGTTATCGGTAGATAAAGCTTATCTTATGATATATACTATGCAATTATCTAACATTATCAAGTTCTTTTATGTTTAAACATTATATGCGTCCCAAATAGGAAAGCATGTAAAAAAAAAAATCTATTGGAACTCGTACATTAAGCAGAAATAGACAGTGGTTTAAAGATTTTCTAAGGCTCCCGGGTGAATTTCTACATTTTTCTTCGGACACATGTTACACCGAAAAAATTAATGCATAGATTAGTATATATTTTTAGACTAAATTTGACTTTTAAATGGTGCTCCATGGCACCTGATCCTACCTCTAATGATTTTGGAGGTCGGTGTTTGCTCTGCTCCCAATTTCTATTGTTTAAATGGACTTTGAGCTTGAATACTGTTCGTTATCTCCATATTTCATTCTATGATGATCATAATTTTCACCCTTTGTCGTTGCCTTTATAATTTTTTACAAGTTTTTTTTTTTATCATTTTTATCATCAAATATTAAGAAATATTTCTCTGAAAAAATGAACTGGTTAAACATTGATTTTAATTAAATTAATTTAGATTAAGTTTATCTATTTTCGTAATTTTGAATGTATACTTTCGTTAAGGAGGCTGGGGGGTCAACAAATTAACCATCAGATATAACTTATTTTTTTTAGATATGATATCTTAAGCTGTCAAATATCAATTGGCAAAGAAAAATTTCATACATTTTAGTTTTAAAATTTGATCCTTTTTGTATATCTTTATATGGAGTTCTTCTTCTAAAGGAGATCAATATAGTCTAAAAAAAAAATGGCCACAACCACCCAGCCCTCTTAAAGGACATTGCAAACTTTCGTAATGTAAAATTTCAAATGCATTACACTGACTTTTTTTTTAAATTTGACTCTCAAAGGAATACTCACAACAACAGATCCTCCATACCTATGAATTGTGGAACCAAATCTCTCTGCTAATGCCACTAAAAGAAAAATATTGTATCTTCAGTTAGCATTTTAATTTTAATTAGCATAAAGCTTCTTAAAATGGCATGTAGCAATGCTTTTACTTACTGTATGTGTACTTTAAAAAATCTCATTTGATTTTCCCCAAGAATTCATGAGTTATTGAAACTCATATGACGGTACACCCCAAAAGTGAAAAATGAAAATTCTCATTATCTCACATGTCTCCCTCGCGCATCTGTCACCGCCTTGATTCTCCTATGCATGGAGTTCATCAGTGTGTTTATCCTTCTAAAAGGGATATTATTCAACCCTTCCGAGAAGGCAGCCCTTAGTTGATTGAGATCGACCAACTTGGACATTTTAAACTCTATCGTCCACGTAGTCCCACAGACGTTTGATGCGAAAAAGATGGACTTGACAGAGACCAGTCAAGTGAATAAATGTGATTGTTTCCGAGAAAATCTTGACAAACCCTGGCAGCATTGGGAGGTGGGTTAACATAAAAAAAAAATAGGCAAACGACGCACACATGCGCGAGTTAGAGGAACACTTACGTACAGTTGACGAGCTCACAAATCAAAATCGCGTTATCGATTTCCTTCAGTTTTGGGATGAATGTAACGATTATGATAGCCTGCTGTATTAACAGCAGTTTTAGGGTAATGTGATGGTGATTATACAGGTGGCAGGATGAATAGCCCGATCTTGACGTGGCGCTGTTACGCTTCAACGTCATCGTCACGGTTGGTTGGAAACCTTTCTACGCCCTCTCTGAGGACGGGTAAGACCTACTATTGTGGAAAAATTCGCAGCAAACTGTACAGAAACCTGTCGTTGCCTTTGTCCTTACTTAGGCAATGCAATAGCAAGACCCCATGGTACTTCCGTCAACCGTACCCTGATTTCAAGAAATGCAAATCGACTGTTAATATCGAAAAACGATGTGTATAACTTAAGTGCAGCAAATGGTACTACGAGATGTTTTGAAAAACATGTCGTCATCGATATGCACGTGTTTTCGGCTTTTTACCACTTTTCTTCTGTGACGTCATACATTTCACGGTTGAGTAGTTCTGAACACTGATTTTAATGCACAGTAACCAAGATATCCCTTTGAACAATTTTCATAATTTTCGGTTATACAGTCAAAAAATGTTCGCATATTATGTTACCCTGCGTTTCTTTTTCCTTTCAGTATATTATCAAAATTCTTACATATAATTCACTTATTCAATTGATCTTTAAATACATTATTTACCACTGAGGCAAAATAATTTTCGTACATGTAAGTTATTTTGTATAAAGTATAATTTTGCCTCAGCGACGATCAATAATAGCAAAGAAATGGAAATACATGTATTATAATATTTTTCAATCCCTTTTTTCAGCCCACCTTTGCCATAAACTTAAGTGAGCTTTTCTGATCGGAATTCATCCCTTGTCTTACGTCCATTCGTCGTTGTTGTCGTTGTCGTTGTCGTCGTCGTCATTGTAAACGTTAAACTTCTTCTACTCCAGAATCACTGGGCCAATTTCAACCAAACATGGCTTAGAGCATTATTTGGTGAAGGGGATTCAATTTTTTCCCCAAATGAATGGACGTGCCTTTTTTCAAGGGAATATACGTGTAATTAAGAATTAGTGCAATTTTAATGGCATCTTTCAACAATCTTCTTTTCAAGAACCACGTGCACAGGGCCAAAAGATGAAACTTATGTAATAGCCTCATTAAATAGTGAAGATTCAAGTTTGTGAAAATAATGACCCCCGGGGGTTGAATAGTGCCTCAATGGGCGATCACAGTTTTACATAGGAATATATACATAGGAAGAAATGTTTAAATATCTTTTTCTGTAAGAATTAAAAAAAACCATGATTAGTCATATTTATATGGAAGCATTCTGAGGTAGTGTAGATTAAGTTTGTTAGAATCATGACCCCGGGGTAGGGTGGGTCCACAATAGCCGATCAAAGTTTTATATATATATAGGAATAATAGGAAAAGATCTTTGAAAATCTTCTTCTCAAGAACAGCAAAGTTTTGATATCAAATTTATAAGGAAGCATCCTCATGTAGTGTAGAATCAAGTTTGTTTAAATCATGACCCCGGGGATGGAATAGAGCCACATAGGAATATAATGGGGGAAAATCTGCTGACGAAGAAGAGCAGGACCATAGTATATGAGGGAACCATTATTGCCCATGGGCCTCTTAATTGTCATATATTTACATCCACAGAATATTATTTCCTTTATGACTTATAAAATACATTGCCGTTAATCAGTCAGTAAACAATACTAAGCAAGCCCCCTTGCATAGATTTCTTCAGCAATGGCTTTTTTCCGTCAATTATGCATACAATGACATACACATCTATAATACAATTTTTAACATATTTAATTTACTTTGAATGTTTTTTTTCAATAAAGATATAAATATAAACAATGAAATGACTCTCTTTGTTTTTTAGTACGTGAATTGACGTCGCACCTTTTGCAGAAAAAAAATTTACATAACCCACTTACGCGGCTTATGTATTTTTTCTGCAACAGCTGTGACATTAATTCAAGTACTAACAACTAAAGAAAACTTTTTTTTTGTTTAAATTTCTAAACATAATGATACATTTACATCAGTCATTTTAATAAAGAAAATAAAAAATATAAATAATGTATAATAAGTATTTTACTTTCAGGTTGTACTTTTACACAGCCAGAGAAGTTTGTTTTCGGCTCCATTGGTTCTACTGGACATGAAAAAAGGAGTCCACTACGGTTGGATTCAGGCAATAGAGAGGTTGCTGGTGCACCGATCACAATCCTTTAAATAATAATTATGAATACAGTTTTAATTAGTCTTGAAAGCAAATAACTTCAAATTCTAGACCATTTTAGTCAGTCTGAATACATACAACTTACGACATATATAGAATGATTACCTATTTTAATTTCGGTCATCGCTGTCGGGATTCATTCGACTCCAAATGCCTTCTATGTTATTATTTTACTGATGGAGAGCAACGAAATATTCACTAATAATGATGGAGTAAGCAGTTTGGTAGACTCTGTATTTGCTGCTCTAAAAACACACTAGCTATAAACTCATGGGATCATGCATTGCTTTTGGGGAAAACTAATTTACTGGTGGAACCTGGTTTAAAAGGAAAGGTTGGATCCATTTGGCCAGTACAAGCTTACAAAATTAGTGCCAATCAATTTAAAACGCCATTGTTTGAATACAAACAATACCAAAGGATTAATACTTTATAAACTTTATCCTGATCTTTCAATAATTTGAAATGTACATCACATGCTGTATCAAAAACTTGATTGTTTATATATGCTCCTAAAGTAATATGGATTAAAACCAACAGGCCACATCACTTTAGATATATTGAAACGAATAAGGAACTCGAGTTAAATTACTCGCACAAATTACGGAACCTACGGTTATCCAATTGTTCATCATGTAATTTGGGTGTAATATTATTATATATTTATTAATCCCGCCTAATAAAAACGTCGTCTAGAGCTCGGTCCAACATTTCACCGACCGGTCCAACACGCGTACAACATCTCACCCACCGGTCCAACACGCCACGTTTTAGACCGCTCAATAAAAATATAGGAAATGCTAAACTTTTCTTGCATCGAATTATAAAGGAATTTTTTTAATGATTTTATTTCATAGAAATGTACTGATGTAGAATATTTTGATAAATCATAAATATCAAATATTATATAACAAATTAGAACAAATGTTATAATGAGTACATTAAATACTCATTATTTTGATGTCGACAAAATGTACATCTATAAAATGATATTATCCCCTTTTATCAAAATAAATTCTGATTAATAATGTGTGTTCGAATCATGACCTCGACTGACCCAAGTCGATAAAAAATAGATAGCAACTGTTCCTTCACCAAGCGCTCGGCACTCTGAAGTGAAAGTTGCAGGTCCTTCGGAGGAGACCTTAAAAACCGAGGCTCCGTGTCTTGGTAGGCAATGGCACGATAAAGAACCCTCACTGGCCACGTCCCTTTAGACACTCGAAACAATTAAGGAATTCGAGCTGGAAGTAACCTCTAAAACGCTCGCACAAATTATGGAACCTACGTGTATATTAATATTTATCCAATTGTTCATTATGTATTTAAAACGTCATCTAGGTCAAAAATCCCTCCGACTGGTTCAATATGGTACTTTTTAGATCGCTCAATAAAAATAATAAAATAAAAAAATGTTTGAATTTTTTTGCAAAGAACTATAAAGGAAATTCTTAAAGGTATTACAATTATTTTATTTCATCGAATTAAATAAAGATTTGTACCGATATAGAATATTTTGATGAATCAAAAATCTCTAATGTTGCGGTGAAAACAATATATGTATCATATTAAATACTTATTATGTTGATGTCGCGAAATGTACATCTATGAATTGAGATTATCCCCTTTTATCAAAATAAATTCTGATTAATGATTAATTAGAAAATTTCAATAAATGATTGTTTGGTTTATCTGACTTACAAGAAGTACACTTTTTTGGATTTTGCACATTATTATGTGCATCAACTTTCTATTATTTACAGTCATACGCCAGGACAGTGTATCAAACTAACGTCTACTCAAACATGTTAGAGAGTTGTTGTTGATAGTGGTGTTAGTTTAATTTCAGGCCATATTTAAAAAAAAATGTTTGTTTGCCCTCTCCCGACCCAGGATAAAATAATGGGTCGGTAGGTAGGTGGGAAATTTTTTTCCCAAGAAAATTTCAACATCAATGCTGAATTTTTTAAACTCTATCAAAATTAAAGGTATTATTAAAATTAAAATGTCCGTGTACGGGACAAAAATTTTCGGAATGAATGATAAATAAATAATAGTTTCCTAGAGGTTAAAAAAAGTTTTTTAAGTAGGGCACATTTTAGTCAATCGGTAGGGAGAGGGCAAACAAACAATTTTTTTTAAAGATGGCATTACTTCAAACTCTTTCTATTGTATTACTTTGGTAATTCCATGTAAGTGTGATCAAATATCTTCATGACCAGGAAGGGGTTTCATTATTCTCTTATTCTGTAGCATCATCACGTGTTTATAGCTGACAATGGCAATTTTCAGTGGCGATTTTGGGACACAAACCACTATCTATTTTAAATTGTAAGGTTTGGATATACAATTTACCTTTTTTTGGTCTCATCTTTCCGATCAGCTTTAGTGCAGCTGTTATAAATGACATATACATATACATGTATACATATTACTATTTTGTACGTCTTACCTCAGTTATATTATTCATATGAATTTTTTGACAGATCAATATAAAAATGTGCTTAAATTACTTCGCGAAAAGGAAGAAGTTTTATTTCCTAGAAATTGTTGGTATTTATTTTAGGAAAATAAATCAACCAGTGGGAAATAAAAAAAAAACAATATTATCTGATATTCACTATTCTTGACAAATACTATTCTATTAATAGTTTACATATTGTGATATACTTTGCAAACTAATTCTACCTGTAATGTTGTCCATAGAAAAACTTAAAAAAGATTAGCTTTAACGCAGAAGTCTACTTTGCGACATGTTTGTGATATTGATCTTTATTTCAAAACAATGGTCGAATGTTAACTAACGTTTTGAATACAAATTTTTTGGCCAGTATTTTCATAAATGTCTACGGATTGCTCCGTTTACTCGATTCAGACAAAGAGCATACGCCGGGCGGGACCGGTCGACAGGCGATGTTTCTCCTTCACGGCGCCTGATCCCACATCTGGTGTTTTCGGGGTTCGAGTTTGCTCTGCTTTCGGTTTTTATTAAAATTTATATAAGACTTTTGAGCTTGATTGTTATCCATTGTCCTCATATTTCATATTGAAGTCATGCAGTACTATTTAAGCTAAGATCGGGAAATAAACCCTAGACAGTCTGTCAATATAGTTTGTGCATAGGATAAATAAATCATTGAAATGTAAATATAATTAAAGCATTTCTGTTTAAAAAGTTTATGATCCGATTCTTTTCACCCAAACGTACTTCTTTAAATGAAAAACGATAACATCAGTAAGTTATAATCTATCAGCTAGTGCCTTTATGTACATTCTGAACTGAAAGACATTTCTCTAAACATTGAGTTTGAACTTTTTTCAGTCGTGTTTCGCATACACTAATGTACAAGCTTTGGTAGCCAAAACATTTCTAATCTACAAAAGAAGGAAACAGACAAGCAAATGTTTTAAATGAGCCCTGGGGTATCTAAGGGTTTTTAAATTGTGGAAAAAGATATAATTTATATGCATTTTTTTAAATTTTAGGTTTTTTTTTTAGTGTCTCATATGTCGTTGAGGCAGGATGCCAGTATTTTACATGCAATTGTAACTGTATTGTTTTATTTGTAATATTTGGCAGGTGACACTTAAATAAATAAATAAATAAATAAATAAATAAATAAATAAATAAATAATTATTTACTTACTTACTTGCTTTCTTACATAATTACTTACTCACTTATTTACTTACTAATGTAATAATTTGTACACTGATAGATGTTTTTCTCACCCCACTCCCTTTGCATTGTTCAGAATCATTCTATCAAATGCCTTATAAACAACACAAAACAAAAACACGTAAACTCACCGCTTTTCTTCGTTGTTAGATAAGATTTCTGTGGAATATCCAAACTGGTCTCCTGCGACACCAAAATAAATTAAGGGTTTTTCAACATCCATATTGTACGCTAATAAAAATGATAAATGTCCAAAAAACAGAAACAGATTTAAAAGAGATTTCATTTTATCACACGAATGTAAAAAAAAGTTTAATAAAGGCATGAAATATTGGATCTATCAGGAAGAAAAAGCTTCTTCCGTGTTCTGTTTAATAGTTTCCGCATAATTCATTACAAGTTCGAGGACTGCCCTTCAATAAACACAGTGATTTAAATTTCGTAGAATGTTATTTCAACTATTTATCTATTTGGAATTATAGTTGATCTAGCATAATAGTTCATTACATATTTAGCGTATCATGGATTGTGGCGTGAAGAAAAATGGATTTTTCTAAACTTTGGTTATTCATTTTCAATGTCAAATCTGAGCATGAATTTCTTTCTTTCTTTCTTTTTTTAATTTTATTCATTAATTAGATTGAATAACTGTAAGCAAAAACCTAATGCTATTGTTACATGTTTAATAATTGCAAAACCATTTTTTTTCATGTGAATGACAAGCAGCTAATATACAGTTTCTAAATACTCGATAATTTATCACAGAACTTTTAATCTAATCACTCAGATACATTGTTCATTATTGAAAACAGTTTTTTAACATGTTTTATAATTATAGGAATTTTTTTCACTTAGCTTTTAATTATATAAGTTAAGAAATGAAAAAAAGAGTAATTCATTCTTTGTATGTCTTATCTTTATAATTATATGTATATAAGTACATGTATTTATAATGTGTTACAATGTTCATACTATTCATCACGTATAGAAGCGTCATACCATGCAAATTTGTTCTATAACATATGCGCTATTTTTCATGTATAGAAGCGTCATACCACACCATTCTGATTTTTCTGTGTATAATGTTAGAAAATTGTGATAATACATATGTATTTAGAAAATAAAGAATAATATATAATGTTCAAAAGGGCACCTTAAGATCCTTCCTCATAAGAGAAGTCCTAACATTTATATTTTAAGACACATCTTATGAACACTCAAGACATATCTTATGAACACTCATGGCATATCTTATGAACATCCAAGGCAAATCTTATAAACACCCAAGACATATTTTAAGAATTAAGGTGGTACACAATAGATAGGCCAAACTTTTCCTCAAATTCAATTCTGTTCAAACTTTGACATTTTGTTCCAGGGTATAAAACCTCTCTTTATATGTAATATGAAAGAAATTCAACCATACATGTTTGCCCATATTGTTTGAAATATGGCCTTTCAGACCCTGTAAGAAGAACTAGCATTGTTGTTAGACTATGCCATCTATGATAAATAAAGGCTAAAGCCTTTATTATTATTTTATGCCCTACCCTGATAGTACCTGCCTGCTTTGTACTGACTATACAGTCATGTATTTAAATGAGCAGAGTCTAACGTTTTAGAAGTCGACCTCATTATGAGGAATAAATAGGAGAATTCTCTGGGTTTTTAATAGAAACCTATGCGTAAATAGAATTAACTAGATAAGTTATGAAGATAACGAACAGTTTACAAGCTCACAAGTCCATTTAAACAATACAAATCGGGAGCAGAGCAAACACGGACCTCTAAAACATCAGAGGTGCATGGGATCAGGTGCCATTGAGGAGAGAGCATCCCCTACTGACCGGTCACACCCACCGTGTGCTCATTGTCATGATCGGGAAAAACGGAAAAATCTGTAGACAATTCAGTGTGTAAAAATGGCCAACAATTATCATGAAAAAGGTGATTCAGCATTTGACTTAATGATAGATTGTATTTGCTGAATAGATGTGTAAGACTCTGTGGTATCTTTTATTTCAAGCTCGCTGGGATATATTGAGTAGACATATGAAAGCAAATAACTATTGTTGATATAGATAGTAATTTGGTCGATATATACAAGTCTAAATGTCGAGTTGAAGACCACAGCAAGTGTTTTCTTCTTCTTGTGTATATACATACGATTTGGAATTAATTCTGATTCATATGAATACAAAATTAGATGTGATAATATTTCTTGGAAAAACAAAAGGACCATTGCAAAATACAAGTAAAAGAAATGAACTACATTTACTCCTTTAACATGTTTAATTTTGTAAAGTTGTTAATCTTAGATTTCTTTTTGTTTTATCATGTTTATAGGAAAAGAAATCAGCACTGAATCCGTTGTAAATTTATCAACTTTGATTTATTTGAGGACAGATGATGACGGTAACGGAAAAAAATGTCATGACTTTTTGGACTTCCAATTGTTCTTTTATCCATATCTCTGCATTAAAAATTAAGCATATTTGCACTTGTGTATAGTGAACGTCTTGATTGACTAATCGACTGTTTGTAGTTTTATGTCCCTTTCAAAATAATTTCACTCAAAAACAGCATATTTTCTGTATTTCATATTTTAGAAGCCAACAAAACCTAGTAATAATACAGCGTGGAAACTAATGTACAGGCGGATAGAAAAAAAAACTTGTAGGGCCAGGGGTTTTGCCCCTACCATTTTTTACTCCGGATTTTTTTGTAGTTTCGGATATTAAATGAATAAAAAATACAGGTTGGTAATAGGATATGTCTAGAATTAAGGAATGAAAGGTACTTGATTGACCAATGCTGGCCAGTAGAGAAATACATTTGCATTGCGGCATCTGTAGCGTTATGGTCAAAGACAAAAAATATGTAAAACCATAACGCTACAGACAGTTCTGCCATCCTCACAGCATCAGGAGCCCTGAGTCAACACGTTGCCGTCCAGCACCGTCAGAGATCCTGAGTCATTACGTTGCTGTCCAACGGCAACGTGTTGACTCAGGACCTCTGAATTTGTCAGGATGCAGTTCTGCAGCTACACACACATATGAATAGGTTTTATGTATTTTGAGAAATTTGATTATTCAATTAAATTCATTTATTTACAACACAAACGTTGGATAATTGTCATGAATACAGAATACAACAAACATTAAACATACAAATTATCAAAACATTTGCACTATGATAATTACAGACGGAAAATTGCCGACAGACCGTGTTGATTTCCAACACTACATTTTATTTAACTGGTTCCTAGTCCACCACGTGAGGACCAATCATTATAATGACGGTGATGAAAGTTTTATAAATCATTGTATGATTGTTGAGTAGAAAACTGTGTGGAAAACACATTGAAAATGAGTGAGGGGGACATTAATAGACCACTGGAAAATGGTTTCCACCGTCCGGTAGCGGAAAATGTAGATGGTCTGTATCTTTTAACAGGATTTTTTCCTACATCGTGATCAACATACTGAGGATACAAGATGATGTGTTCAACATTATTAACTGCGTAATTTTAGCTTCATAATTATATATTTTATTTTCCCACAACCAATATTTACTAACCTAAACGCTCCGAGAAAAATCACTAGGCCTACGATTATGATGAATAAAAACGTGTTTATTATGTAATTTTGAAACGTATTTTTTTTTTAATATGATGCTCAAATGTCGAAGGTCAATGGCCACAAAAGTATTTAAAGTTCAAGTATCTAACATCTACCGGGACGTATGTACTATCTGTATCTGTAGTTAATTCACGATATTTTAATATTGGCGATTGGAGAATGAAAGGCCAAGTAGTGACCAAGTTAAAGATTTTGGAGCACATTCATTTCAGTTGAATTTAAGCCCTTCCTAGAGCAAACTTGTGTGGTGATACAGCTAGGTATTCTAGACTACTGGACTTGATTTGTATGCTGGATCAGACCTACATATTTCCGGATGAGTGACCATGTTAAGTTTTTTGATCTGATCCATTCCTAAATAGCTACATGTATGTATAAACATTATAAATCATAAGGCCTACCTGGACCAAACATGTATGGATTATGCATCAATACATGCACACAAACAGACTTGATTTGGATGCTAGATCTGACCTTCACTTTTTAGATATTAAGTGACCAGGTTGACGTTTTTAGAACAACTCCATTTCCAAGTAACTATAAACCCAACCTGGACCAAACACATTTTTGGAATCATATATATTATTAGATTTTTAGTGTAGTTTAGTTAAGGATAATATTCATTGAGGTAAGCTATGTAATCTTTGATTACCTATGTTAAGCACATGAAAACCCAAAGAACTTTTGCAACACTTCGAAGTTTCAGTCAACTAATCACCTGTAATGGCACATAGTAATTTGTGTGTTTGGGATGGGAGGGGGGGTGGTGGTGGCTTGAAATATATTACATGTATATTTATGTTTGTTGTTGATACAGAAAAACTTTTACTTCATAAGTTCTTTTATTTTGCTCAGATATAACTTGGATAAATAAGATGAACTCTCAAATCGGCTACCAGAAGATAAAGTCTCAAGCTCAGGTATGTATGACACTGGTTATAAATACATGATTTCTTTATTGTTGTGAAATGTACAGCACACTAATACAAAAATTATATATATCAACTCATATTTCAGTAACTTATATTTATACTATAAACATACTTTGTCCATTGGGCGTCACAGTTTCAGTTTAATCCATGAGTAGAAAATCAAATGGAATTTTTTGGATTGCCTTTGTATGTCTTATGTACATTTAGTATGCTGTGACAAATTTCCACGGAAAATTAGATACTGTGACATCACCGCATACGTGTCTTAATTAATCCCACGCAGAAAAAAAGTACATCTACAGTACATTATTATATGATACAGAAATGTTTGAACATGCAAATGTTAAATCAAAAATCAAAAAAGAAATTGATTTCACATGATTATATGTTAACTTGAATGTGACTTAATTTATGCTGTTCTTAGTACAATCTTACTGTTCGAGCGTTACCATAATCACGTGTCGATGTTATGATTTCAGCAACTGAAGCAGGAACTCCAGCAGGCTTTTACCCAGGAACTGGACAGTCTTGTGGATGGGTTTATAGAGGAAGTGGAACAGATGGAGGGAAAAGAGGGTCTGTCTAACAATGTCAGCTTCTCAGATCTTCGCTCCAGGTATGGTCTGAGTTTTTTAAACAATATTTAGTTAAAAAAAGGAATTAAGACTGGATGCCAGGCAACAGTGCCTATTTGAGCCCTTTCACTCCCGAGAAGATCTGAGATACACCCATTGAGAGCATTTATAAAGAGCTACATTCTAGTGGGTTGTAGATATTGTAGGACATGAAGGGGGCAGGGGCCTGACAATGTAAATTTACTTGACCTTTAATTGATCAAAATCAGTCTTAATACAGGTCTGTACTCAAGAAGGAAGTTGCTAAAATGAAATGCATTTGATATGTTTCCTGCTCAAATTGAGTTTTTCTGTAAAATTGGCAGTATGACCATGTTACGCATGTTACAATCCTTTATTATTCAGTGATGCAACTCATTTGAATGTTTACGTGATGTGTTTTGAAAAAAGTCATAAAAATCACAAAAATCAGACCAAATGTCTGACAGTGATTTAAAAATTTTGACAACTCTGCACCAGACTGGAATGTATGATGTCCCAGTGTCCAGTTTTGAGAATTTACTATTTTGACATGGAGTCATAAAAACGCTTTTTTTTTAAATTAAACTAAAAATATTGCACAAATCCAAGTACACTGTATGTAAATGAGACTCAGTGTGATTATAACTACATGTACCATCTCAAGTATTCAAGTATTATGAGATATTTCATTGGTTCTGCATATCTACGTTTCACTTTCTTACATCAGGTTTTTCGGAGTGAGAAAATTTAGTTCTGTCCTGTGTGTTTCTCAAGTACACAAGACCAAATGTCCCATGTGTCTCAAAAAATGTGCGCATCAACTGATTATGATGAATTTGTATGCCTTTTCATTGCTGTACTCAGTACCCTCAATATATCTCTAACCTGCCTACACTGGTACAGTGGTTCCCGTTTTATCGAATAGTCAAGTTGTCAGCCTAGTTTTAGCCGAATAGCCGAAAATTAGAATAACCGATTGCTCCATACCGAGTCCAAAGATAGATGTATAGAGCTACATGTATTGATAATACATCGTAGCAAATTTCAAGCTTGCACTTTCGTTTTCTTTTGACATGTTTACTTAATGACTTTACTAAAAATAATTTATTTCACTTACCTATGAATTTAATGTGAATTCTTTTTTCAAATAAATTGACGTATAGAATATATTCTTTGATAGTTATTGCCATCTTTCTTCAGCACATGTTTACATTCCTTCTTCGATGGTCGCCATTTTGGAAACGGAAGTAGACTAAATGCTTGACTAATAACCGTAAACTATTTTTCCCTGGATAGATTGTAAATTAAAAATAAACAAAAATATTAAATATATGTAATTGTTTCGTTTTTATTTGTTTCTTTAATACGGTTACATATTTTATACTGTGTGTGAGTTTACCAGTCTTATTCTTGTCTGCTGAAGAGAGATTTTGAGAGCCATGTGGAGAAAGATGGTATGAATTTTGAGACGTATTTTTATAGAATGGGCCATTTGTGATTTTTACCGTAAATTTTGCACTGAAAAGTGAGTAAATATTAAGCCAATTGACCAAGTTAAACGATTGAATAGGCTTATTTCATTATCCAAGCAAATTGTCATACACAAGCTAATCAGTTCAATAATTAAAATTTCACGCTGAAAAAATTACAAATAACTGTCATAATTAACAAGTGCATCATTGAATCCAAGCTGATCATCACAACTGTAATCAAAACATATCTATTTACTATGCCCACTATTGACACAGATAAGGTGCCTGTGTGCATCCAGCCGTAACTAATCCCCTCATTATCGTACTCAAGCCAGTCAAGGTAATTGGTGTCAAACTGTGTAAACAAAGGCCTCACATACGAAGTTGGAGGTGTGAACAAGGTGCTGATTATCAAGAAACACTATGATAGTCCAAATTTTTGTATCAGATAAAACGAAATTCCAATATTTTCTCATCAGAATATCAGGTGAAATTATTAATAAATATATAAGAAATGGTTTTGTGCTCTGATATTATATTGAAATAGCCGAAATATTCGTTAAACCGCTATCCGATAAAATGGAAGCCACTGTATAGATCTAGATATCAGAATAATGCCTGATTTCTGTTGTTTTTACAGTGTTTCAGACTTAAGGCATGAAAATGTAATGTATGTAGCACTTCTTTGAAACATTTCATACATTTTTATATAATATGTAAATTTCAAATAAGAGGGAGTTTGATTAATTCATTTTCCTGTATTTATTTATTAATTTTCATTCTTCAGACTACTCCTGAGTCCTCCCAACCTAAATGCATGATGTTAGAATTACTTTTAATCAAGTAGACTTGTTAGACATGGATTCCTTTTTTTTCATTTTGCAGCAGGTGATGGCCACTGTTAATTGGTATTGCTAATGTAAATCATTGAATTGTTAATTATTGTATAATAATTATATATATATTTAATTAAAAATTAGTAAGGAGTTAGAGTAAAACTCGGTTATAGCGAAATTTACAACTTTAATAGCAAAATTTTTCAAAGATCTAAATTTAGATCTTTGAAAAATTTGCTATTAGAGTTGTAAATTTCGTAATTTCTTCTAGGGGACACAAAATCAGTTCGCTTTAACAGTAAATTCACTATATCCGAGTTCGTTATATCCATAAATATTACAAGGAATTTTTAAGAATTTCGCTGGGGGTTGCAAAACTCTATATCCGTAAATTTGCTATATCCGTGTTCATTCTAAACGAGTTTTACTGTACTGTAATTATATTTAACAAGCACATCTTAATGGACAAAAAAACAAATGCATATTACTGGTATGTATCATGTATACACCGCATTGATGTTATTATATAATATTTAATAATAATATTAATTCTGTTAAAAGGGGTAAATACCACAGTTGCATGTCCATCTCTGTGGAATTTTCTATAACTTACCATGCTTATACTTACCATAAAATAAATCACTATTTATCATGATTATCCCAATTTTCTAACCCCATGTTCATTAAGATACATTTATATAGCTAACAATTTCAACAGCATTAACTGATTCAGTATCTGTAGATTACTTTTTTTTTTTTTTGCTTTATGCAGTCTTAAAATATCCAATGATGTTCATCTATTTACGAATATGAATATGAAAAATTTACATGTTACATGTTATAGCGGCGAAGAAATTTACTCTAAAATCTATTGTTTTCTTTTAAAATAAATTCATATATTGACAAATTTTATATGTTATAATGTTTAAAGACACTGACAATTCTCCAGGATGATGCAATGTATTTAAATAACCAAGAGTTCATTGACATAAATCAAAAAATCTTAGGAACCATTTATCAGTCAATCAACCCGATATATTTCTGTAGACAGCAGCTCATTTGTAGGTTAATACCTGACAGGGTATATTACTGTCCGAAAGGGTGTTAGACTGCTGATTTTAACGAGGGTGATAATCTTAGTCACATTGACAGGAAAGAAATACCTGTACGTGTACCTGTACATTCAATGTCGTATGACGTGACTCAACAGAGATTAGGTTGATAATTTCAGATGTCTGTATTGACTTATCTGTCTGTATAGGTAGAATTTCACTCTCATTTTTATGAAGGGAATTTTCATATCTATCTAGTATTTCATCAATTGTTTACTTTTCATGTCAATGTACCATGTTAAATAAATATACATAGGGATAAGCATACAATAGGTGCATTTCTATTTTTATATTAGTTTTAATATGAACTGTGCATTTAACTGTTCAATCTGTCCTCTATAGTAAAAAATTAACTGCCATGAACATATTTAGTTTGAATGATAAACATTTTCATTATAATATTTAGTACATTCTTATTTCATTTCAGTTATACACTTGTAGCTCTTCATTATAGTACGTTGCACTTGTATTGAAAAGACATGTTGAAATGTTAATTATATTGCATTGACTGCATGTTTACTTGTTTATCATGCTAGAATGATATAGTACTATAAATGGGTGAAAAATCAGGGATCCTCTACAATGGTAGATTTAGGAGAGATTTTTAAGAAATATTAAATTTGTACCAGGATAATAAAAAATTGTGTAATATATTGCATTAATATTAATATATAATATACATATATCATATGTACATTGTAGCAAAAAGAAGAGGGAGGGAGGTGAACTTCCAGATAAGGAATTTATGCCCAGGAATTCAGTGTTAACGTAGGTATCTCCCAAAGGTTCAATAATGTATATAATTTAATTTTGGTTGTAACGCATCATTTGATTGGGTAAAAAATTATTTTATATTGTTTAATCTGTGTTGCCTATGTCACATTGACTTATGTCAAAAATGTATCAATCCATTTGATGTTACATTTGAAATATGTATGATTTGAATATACTTCTAATCATTTATGCTTTATTTTTTTTAATTCTTGAAGTTCCTGAACATTTAAGCATTCATACACACATATGAGGTAACAAACTAACAAATGCTTTCATATTTAACATTTCCTTTTAGATTTTGTATTTCATTCAAGTATACAAGTATATATAAATTTAAATGATAACCATCATCCAATGAGTAACTCTTTAATTAACTAAGGATGACTGATACCTGAAACATATAGAAATAATATTACATTACATAAATGATTAGTTATCTCCTCCCCCGGGGACAAGTTTTTTAGGCATTAATAAAACTTAAAAGGTCTGTATAAATCAAATATCAAATTACGGAATGTTTCATATCACAACTGTACTTCAGTCACTAGTAATTAAAGATCAATTGAACTGTCCAATAATCAGTTATTCTCTGCAGGAACCATTGAATCCCCATTTTGCAGTAGACAAGTAGGAAAAAAATCTCTTGCTAATACAGAAGGACGGTTATATGGTATCAGTCATAAATGATAACCATCATCCAATGAGTAACTCTTTAATTAACTAAGGATGACTGATACCTGAAACATATAGAAATAATATTACATTACATAAATGATTAGTTAAAATTGAGAAAACTGTCTAGTGTTTATTTCCTTCTTTTGGTTTGTACATGTCACTACATATACACAATAAGTAGGATCATCTGACCATTGTGTTTTTATACAAGTTACAGATCAAAAAGGAAGTGACATTCTAATGACTCAGCTCGCCCCAGCACTGATTGAAATCTTTAATACTAAAGAATCTGATTTAGCAATATAATACTAGTAACTTGGATGGAAATTTATCTGAATAATATCACTAAGTAGGGGAAACTTCTGATTTCCTTAAAGCATGATATACATCAAGTCTCCACTTAAAGAATTCATTCAGGGCATTACCTTGTTTTAATTCGTTCAGGACATATCCTTGTTTTGTCAACATTTTTCACAATTTTCATTGAAAATCAGATTATATCACTTCAGAGTTTAGATATTTAATTGAAAATCACATAGTTGATAGACCTTTTTTAAAGATCTGAATGTTACAAAATTTAATATTGCTGTCAATTGATGAGAAGTATTATTTGTTTTACTTTCATAGCAACTTTCACGTTAAAGGTCAAATTTGATTGGTTTAAAAACATTTGCCAAAAAGTACTGTTACCTTACCATTGTGCATCAACCACACCCTCCAGGTAACATTACATAGCAACAGTTGAAAATGCAAGACAATGGGTAACAGTATAAAAATTGTTAACTTTGCAGAATGTTGACAAGTACGGTTCACACTGACATTTTACTTTAAATTCATTCTAAATACATTCAGTATAACAAAAAAATATTCCATGGCATTGATTTTTAAGGGTAACATGAAATTGTTATCCCATGAAGACCTCTGTTTACCAATGTATACTTTTGTTAAAAGTATACAGTAAAATCTGTTTAATCCAGATACTGTGTATTCTGAAATCTTCCCTTTTACAGTAGTACTTTTCAGAAAACAAGTTTTAACAACGCTGTACACATAATCCTGAATGTTGACTAATCTGGCAAATTTGGAAACAAGAGTTTTTTTGTTTTCAATTTTGACATTTTTTTTAAAAAAAAGTGAATTTATGTTCTTATATTCTATTTAATCAAACAGACAACAATTGAGAAAAAATCAAGCAAACACAGAATTTTTTTGACAATTGATGTTAATGTTAAATTATGATTTATATTTCAGAGATTTGTTTAGAATAAAAGATGTGAAGACCATCTACCATATTTTTGTGGCTATTTTGATTGTGTTCAGTCTCAATACTCTAGTGTATGATCTCATCAATGAAGGGAGGTAAGTCATATTCAGATAGTCAGTGGTTTATGTTTAACAGTGTTAGATTCATGCATGCATGTATAATTGGTAAAATACTTTAAAAAGACTCGACTGTAATATTATAGTATTAATTGCAGCAAGAACTAAGATAGTCAAGTTCAAAAATTTATTGTAGATGCCAGAACACATCTTAAATACTGAAAAACCAAAAAATAATGATATTTTACAATAAACAATACGAATAATAAAATGTCATGTAAAGGGATATTGATATGTTATCTGTATTGTCAACTTATTTGAAATATGCTGATATTGTAATGTGTAATTTACAGAGCTCAGAAATCTGTTGTAGGTTAAATCTCAGCTTTGACCTGATACAGTATGGAATGGGAAAGTTCTCTAAAGTCATGGAGTTGTGGGTCAGCATGACCTTGTCTACATTATTAGTGGTCTACCCCGGCTTCTACTACTGGTCAATGCACAGAAAACCAGGCAGAGTGGGTCAGTAAACAGAGTGTTACATTTTGAGTGGTTCAGACACACCCACCATTTATATAATAACATAACCCGAAATCTTTAGTACCTGTACATGTCATCAGTTCAACTGTTACATTAGTATGGCTTAGAATCTTAAGTACATTTTCATCAATAGCTTTGAATTTCAATACATTTTGAGCTTATACAGTAAAACAAATGTTGTCTGATCCCGAATGTTGTGTAATCTGGCAAATTTCTATGAAATAATTGGTGTCTGGATTAGACAGGTTTTACTGTACTTGTGACTTTCAAACAATGACATATGCTGTACATTTCACATCAAACCAAATGTTACTAATGAAAAAGAAAAAAAGAAGAAAATTTCACATAGATTGGTCAGTGCATTAGGTCATTAAGATTATCTGACACCATCATTTTGTTTGTCAGCAACACTCAAAATTCCATAGTACATGTATCAGTGAAAATGACATGATATTTCACATGAGTACACTTAGAATGAAGGTCATTTGAGTGGAGGAAATTTCAATCATTTTTGATTGATTTACAATTTTTTTTCCCTTTTAGGTGGATATGACATCGCTGCAGGATGTGTCTACATTCTCTATCAGCTGGTTTTTCTTGTGTGGCCCGTTAAGTACATCACAGACAATGCCTTACCCCCAGGGTCCAGTATCATTGTCACAGCTGAACAGGCAAGGGTTTTCTCATGACAACGAGAATTTTTTTTTACACACATGAAAATGCTTTTAAAAATAATTTCTGTTAATACTTGTAAGGTCCTGGATATATAAGTATATGACCTTATGTACTGTATACATGTAGTACAGAAAGCATCATTCTGTATTGTCAACTATAGATTTGGCTTTGAAAATTCTTCATATGTTAGACCTATATCATGTAGGGGAAAAAAATAAATCTGTTAGCATGGATTTAGGAATCAGGAATCTGACAATGTGTATTCACTAAGGACATTATATAGATTTTTAGAAAAATGTGCAAGTTGTTATTTGTGCTGTCCCCTTTTATGTAACCTAAATGTTTGTGAAACCATTCCCTAAAATGAGTTGTCCTTGTAGACCTGACATTTTGATGAGAGGTTATGCTATAAATAGCAAATTTGCCAATTTCAGATCAGATTGATGATGAAAGTCCATGCTTTTGTGAGAGAAAATGCCGCTAAAGTTTTAGCATTCAAAAAAGGTAGTACACTAACATTCACTTTTTTTCTGTCCTATAATTTCAAGCAAGGATTCAATATTGGCATTATTAATGAGTCTTGAGATTGCTAAAATTAAAATTGCCAACAATTCATTCTGCATCAGAGTGTAAGAGTTACTTTTCTTTGCATTATAAGTAGCTAATATTACTTCTGGGTATTGCAAAAATATATGCTGATTTTTGAGGACAAATTGCTGAAAATCATTAAATAAAATTCTTTTTCATATGGAATTTTCTTTTGACCAAAAAAATTGTGATTAAGCATTTCATACCCAATTGATTTGCTTCAAAATAAGGTCCTCATTATCTCTGTATACCTGTATATATTTGCAATGGATACAATCTTTGTATGGAGCATTGTGTATGTTTTACAGATGATAGTTCTGAGGATCACGTTTGTCCTGATTTCTCCAAGTATCTGTATTTCCTCTTCATCCCAACTCTTGTCTACAGGGACTCGTATCCAAGGTAATCTCAACCCTTGTCTACAGGAACTCATATCCAAGGTAATTCCTCCCAACCCTTGTCTACAGGGACTCGTATCAAAGGTAATTCCTCCCAACCCTTGTCTACAGGGACTCGTATCCAAGGTAATTCCTCCCAACCCTTGTCTACAGGGACTCATATCCAAGGTAATTCCTCCCAACCCTTGTCTACAGGGACTCATATCCAAGGTAATTCCTCCCAACCCTTGTCTACAGGGACTCGTATCCAAGGTAATTCCTCCCAACCCTTATCTACAGGGACGCGTATCCAAGGTAATAAATGAGAAATGTTAACTCAAAAAAACTAGTTCTCTCTGTGTCAAATTTCAGGTTAGTCTCTGGGAATTACTTTTGAAAACAGCAATGAAAATAAACTGTGATATATATACACTCAGATAATATTTCTTCAAATTCTTTTAAGAATAACCAAATATTACATATTGATAAAATGAGTCAAGGACTATATACAATAGGCTACTGCTTGAGCCCTGAATTGGAGAAGTATTCATAGCATATATTTAATCAACAGAGACATTTCTCTGAATAAAACAAAAGATTTTCCTTTTCACTGTTAGGAACATGTCCATTTAGTACTTAGCGTCATTTCATTGATATTTTTTGACAACAACTAAAATAGTATTCCATAAATGTAAAAGACAGTAGAGATTGTTCAACAGTTACATCATTTTCTCTACCTCTTAATAACTGAATTGAAACAAAAACATGTGTAGTGATCAGGCAGGTTTGATAACCATTGCCCATGTAGTTCAGTTGGTAGAACACTTGACTACTGATTCAGGGGGCCTAGGTTCTAATCCTAGTATGGTCATTTGCATTTTTTTCTCCTCCTTAGTTACACATGTATTAAAAATAATTGACTACTCTACAGGACACAGAAGATTCGCTGGAGTTACGTGGTCAGTAACTTGGGACAGGTGCTTGCTTGTCTGTTCTACACATATTACATCTTTGAGAGGTTCCTAGTGCCCGTGTTCCGTAACTTTGGCCGTGAACACATAACAGCCAAAGCTTTGATCCTGTCAGTGTTTGGATCCATGTTGCCTGCCACTCTAGTCTTAGTTTTGGGTAAGTGATGTTTAAATGGGAGTATAGAAGTTTTGAATTTTTTATACATATGAACATGAATAGCAGACTGATTATACAATCATGTATAAATGAGGGCTGTAATGATCTAGTTTATATTTAGATTAATTGAACATTTCCATTTTGTTCTAGGTTTCTTTGCTATTCTTCATTCCTGGTTTAATGCCTTTGCTGAAATGATGACTTTTGCAGACAGAATGTTTTACAAGGTTTGTTCAGCATTGCACTGTGTATCAGTTATGTTACTTTTATTGTTGTATACCACATAAATACAAATTGTATTCTGAAAAGATTTTTTTTAACACATTCCATGAGCATCAATCTATATTAATTACCTTTAAACATTTTTTTGATAACTATCATTTACAGGAGATAGCTTTATTTAAAATTTATTAATGGAAATTGTTACTTTTATTAAAATATTTGCTTATTTTATATAATTCCATAGGACTGGTGGAATTCCACATCATTTGCTAGCTACTACAGGACTTGGAATATTGTTGTACATGACTGGTTGTACACTTACATCTACAAGGATGCTTTCAAGGTATTTCCTATTTTGATTTATATTTTTTTTTATAGAGACACTAGGGTATAAACTAATCTTACATGTATTTTATTTGAGGTCATCTGTACAGCCTTGTAATCTCTATCCACAATTGCTAAACTCTATTAAAATTGATAATTTTTAAACACTGATGATTTGCTAAATATGTTGTTAGTTTTTCCATTCATCTTGTATTAATTAATACCGGGTAGTTGATAACTAGTAGAACTGTCTTAGTTTCTACTCACCAAATATCTAACATGTAGGATCGCGCATGAATATAGAGTATTAATATACAGAATGTAGATGAGTCATTTATTTAGGTTTCTGAGAAAGGCAAGAAAATGAAACTCAATTTGTATATTTTATAGTGTTCATATACATGTAGGCATTCATTAAGGAATAAAATTCACTCATTTGCTTAAGTACATGTAATATACTTGTACATGTACTAAGAAAATGAAGTCCTTAGTCTGTGAAAGATGTGAAACTATTGTACAACAGTATTTAAAAATACTGTTGAAGTACATATATGTATTTTGTACATTATGTATAAATACATAATTAATTGAATTGATAATTCACAGCTTTTCCCCAACAATCGTTCCCTTGCCATGGCTTGTGTGTTTTTGATCTCGGCTGTTGCCCACGAGTACGTGTTGATCATGTGCTTCAAGTTTTTCTATCCCGTCTTGTTCGTCATGTTCATGGGAGCTGGGTGTAAGTATGAGACTTCATTCTGAATATACAACTGTTGGCATTGTGTAGTCAATTGTGTAGTAAAGTTTTGGGCACCTGAATTTTTCTGTTTTTGACTTTGCTCATACATGTACATATAACTTTGATGAATTTTATCTTTCCTTTCTCCTCAATTTGTTGATTTAATACCAGTTTCATACCACAAAGATATTTTTTTTCATCTTGAAACTTGATGATATATATATATATATATATATATATATATATATATATATATATATATATATATAAGTGAATATTATTTTTCTAGGCAATTTATAGCTAGGAAAAAATAACTGATTGGCCAAATATTTAAATTCTGTCTATGTTCTGTTTTTTTATAGACATGTTTTATTGCTATATTGTTTTATATCTTTAAAGGTAGCTGTACTTGTTGACATAATCATTACAAAATATTCCAGTGGTACATATGTTCACTTACATGTATGTTTGATCGAAAATGATTTCTTTTCGTTTTCAGTTGGCTTCATCTTCTTTAAAGGCGTGGGTAGGGGTTGGAATGTGTTTCTGTGGCTGATGTTGATCATGGGAAATGGAATGTTGATGTGTTTGTACAGCCTAGAATGGTATGCTCGACAGAGGTGTCCAGAGAATACGGTTAGTTTTACCACTCCTTAAACAGTTAAAATGAGGGGAGGGGCGGGGGGCTCAAAAACACAAAGAAATTCAATGGTGTACAAGACTGAGGAAATTGTTCATGATTATAACAGTAAGGACATAAAACCAACCTGAGGGGATATTTTATGATAATCTTTACACTCATTCTTGATACTTTCCAGGACAACTTTTTGGATTATCTCATTCCTCGGTCATGGACCTGTGACTTTGAAGCCATGGAAAACTGAACAATTTTTTCCTTACAATTTGGTTTTCTCCAGCATGTGCAATAAAGTTAATATTTTATGAAATATACACCAGAAAACGATATTATTAAATTCTAGGAAGTGATTGAAGTACATGTAAATTGTACATGTGTTTACATGATAAGTATGTGAAGTTTGTCAAGGGTTTAAAGAGAGTGCTGCTTGTACTGTACATCCTAAAGCTCAGGTTGATAGCATAATATTCCTTTTTGTACATTACATGATTGAGGTTCTTTTTCCTGTACACATGTACATCAGTAACAATTTATATTATCTGCATTGTCACCAAGTGAAATTTGTCAAAAGCCATCACATTTCTTTTGTGATTATTAATGTTCATTGATCACCCTGGTAGAAATACTGCAGTGCCTACATTAAACAAAACAGTATAATAAGTACCGATAGCTTATTTTTAATTCAGTAGATTTGATTTTTGTGGTTTACATGTATGTTCTAATATATAATACATGTACCTTTATTTAAGAAAAACCATCAATTAGCAAACACTGAATTAAATATCAAAATCACAAGAACCATCAGCAATATTTATAGGGATTCACAATATACACTGCAGAATCAAGGTTGTCCTCATGTTTTGATTAATAAGTTAGTCTTTGCATTGAAAGTAAAATTTAATTATCATATAAATTGATTAAGTGACATTTATCAAAAACATATATTTATTAGTTGTTTTTACATTGTAAATGTAAGAATCATTTAAGAATTGGTAACATATTCCTGTAAGGAAGTTTCATAGAAGTGCAATTTTCTTGACCATGTTCATGATTTATACAATTTTGATTGAAAAATTGTAGATGGCATGTACAAAATATAATCAAATGAATTGTTTGCTAAATGAGATTTTGAATCTTTATGTGCCATGAACAAATGTGTAGCTACTGTGTATATTGTTTTCAACTGCTTTTCATGGTATACTTTTTTAATGTGCTGCCTCGTATTTCTACACCAAAACTTTAAAACATTTATAAACTCGTACATCTATTTATTTGGCCATGCAGAATACAAATAATTGATTTTTGAAAAATTTTTTCATGAGATATTTTGATAAAAGTGTAAAAATAATTCTGTAAAAATGTTCATATTACGTGTACTTCCCTTGTTGTAACTCTCGTGTAATAGAAAGCAGGAAAATTCAGAGGAGTGGAAACTAAGGAAATGTGCTAAACTGACACATGCAGAGAAATGTTTTGTCATTTATTGTGATCACTTAATGTAAAAGAAATATATTACAGGGAAATTATTAGTTTTATCAATTGGACTTCAAGGTGTATGCATTCAAGGAAATAGGTTTTTTTTTTTTTTTACATGTATTGTGTAGATTAATTATCAATTTCAAAGCAAAATTTTCTAGTTTTTTAATGCTTTTTCTTGGGTACATTAAAAAAAAACATTTTCCAACAAAGAAAGTGGATGGAAAATGGTCTCTTCAGTCTTGGGTGCCACAGAAATTTACAGTCATATGATGTTCCTAATTGTCAAACTTCTTTTAACAGAAGTCTCAGATTCTTTAAATAAGGGAGGCACTTTGAATGTGTTTAAATTGTTCTCAATTTTTTTTTCCTGTGATAACATATATGTGTTCGTTTCTGTCTCAAATTATTTTGTATTGATTTTAGATTAAATGATGAAATATTATATTTGGACCAATGGTATTACCATATATATTTTCACTTGTACAATTCACATGTACATGTATTTGAATTCCAATTTAAGCATAGGTGTCCTGAACTTATCACACTGTGCTGTTTGAATTAGTCAGTTGTGTATTTTCAGAGTAAATGGTTGCCCCAAAAATGTATATTTTTCTAAAAATTGTCCTTTTTTATTGAAAAGTACCGTTAGTATATATAATTATGCATATGTAATGATTTATTAATGATTTTAACTCTATAATGGATAATTTATTTTTTTTTTGGAGGGGGGGGGGGGCAAAAATTGTCTTTAATGTGTGCCAGCTGGTCATAGGCCTAAAATCTCCATTGTTTTCCCAAAGTGATTGACAGAAAAAAATGACCCCACAGAAAAATGATAGATATAATATTGATGTTAAATGAAATAATTTTCCTTCAACTATGAAGTGTCCAATTAGATTTACATGTTTACTGATCTTTCATTGTTTCATTGTGTGAATTTCTTGGCTGAATACCATAGATGATAATGGAAGGTGTCCAAGGGAAAAGATTATTTTTATTAGGCCTGATTGTTAATATTTTGTGATATTTGTGATAACCCAGTAAAGATATAAAATACTGGGATCTCCCCCTGCAATAAAGTATGTAAATATATATTTTCTATGTGATGTTTGATTTATACAATGTATATACAAAACATGATAATAAAAATCTAAAATTTATTTTTGTTGGCGATTACAGTACATGTGCTTATTTTGAACTCCCAATTTCAAATACATGTACATACAGAAATTTCCTGCATCAATTACATCTATTCATTCAGCAAAAATGACCCTATTCAGAACATATTTTGTAACTAGGTGAAATTTTAAAGGTTTTCTTTATTCTTTCGTAACTCATTATCTATTTGCCAGATTAATTTTATTTTTACAAGAATAAATTTTGAAATTGTACCTTTTAATTTAACGTTGGTGGATGGTATTGGATGAAACACGAGTAAAATGTAACTAATGAAAATAGTTGCATGTTTTCTGAAACACCCTGTATGTAGACTAATAACTTTGATTTTACATGTACTCTGATAGTTTAAATGAAAAAAAAAATCCTGCTGTGATATAAACTTATGTGTAATTGACAATTCATTAATAAAAGGTAGAATCCTACACACTGATTATCGTACCGTGCGGAAGATTTTCGAAATAAATGTACTTGACCATATCTATGGAAAGCCAACGGGTTCAAAATTCCACCTCAGTAATTCTTAAAATGTACACATGTAAACCTGAATTTGTAAATCATAATTTCATAATTTGTCAATTGTTCTGTCACAATTTGTTAATTGTAACTATCCAACATAATTTGACAAGTGTAAAATGTAAATGCAAGTGTTGTCGATGCTCGCGTGTAATTCGTAGACCTTACGAAGTTACAAAGTTGGAATTTTGAACCCGTTGGCTTTCCATACATATCCACCTGAATACAATAATTACTGCAACTAATTGGGGGAGAGAGAGAACCAGATATATGCATCCAATATACATATTAGGAAAAAAATTTATGGTACATGTAAAATGTTTACGTCCCATTTTAGAGCTTTTCACTCATATAGAGAACGTCACCATATACTGGTGAAGGGCTTCAAATTTAGACCTGTATTAGACAATACATATATTGATCAGTGAGGGTTCTTATTGGTGCCAGCGCCTACCGTGACAGAGGGCCTAAGGTTTTTAGGGCCTCATTCGAAAGACCAGCAACTTTCACTTCTAAAAACAAACGCTTGGCGAAGGAACAATTGTTTAAGGATAAATAACACAAACAATCTTTTTTTTTTCTTCAGAAATCAGCAGAATTTCTCATAGATTTATATTCGAATAAGTAACCTGAATAATATTTACCAGGTAAAGTGGGAAAACTTTGTAAGATTTTGTCGCAATGTTAAAAAATATATCCAAATGTTTGTATAGAATTATATAGAAAACAAAACAAAGTCGCATATATTTAAGCACCAAAGAAAACTTACGATTTCTTTATATTTAAGGGATTTATTATTTACGTCATTTTTATTCAAAATCAGTCAAAAAATATACGAGGGGTTATCAAAAAGTTCGTGGACTAGCGCCATAAAATTAAAACCGTTATATGTACATCAATGAATTTTTAAACATTTAATAAGCATCATCTTTTCTATCTGTAAAATAAACTATAAATCGTAAGTTTTATTTTTTTAGTGAATCGTAACTGTTTTTGTAAGTAATGGTATGTCCAGGCGGCGCAACCCCGAAAAGAACGTATTTTCTACCTGAGTGTAACTGAGAAAACTCTCCTTATATGAGCATTTGGCATCCGAAAATCACATTAATTCACTCATCTGATATGACACAATTTTTTCGTAAGAGTTGCAAGTTTTACCTCATTCTGTACATTCAATGAAATTTTATCGTAAATTTTATTTTGAATGTCCAAACAATAAAGGGTTTAAAATGACCTCGAAAGGGGGTAGGGTGTCATTTTACAACATTCTATAAAGCCTCAGCCCCTGGAAAACCTGGCATAGCCTCAGAAAATGTTTAAACAAGCTACAGAGAAATACAATTTACCCAAAGTACTTGTTTTTAAATACCAAAAGAAATTCAGCAAGAAAAGAGACACACGGTTAATATCGATTTGTAGTCAGGGTGTCCAAAGTAAGTCATGTCGAAAAGTGACGTTGATCTTTGGTTGACATTGAACTCCGACAAGAAAATTATGCTGGCAAAATCAAGCGAGGATCTTTTCCTACATGTATGTATAGATTTAATATTTACAATATTGATGCATTGAAATCAAGAGTTCATAACATTGTAAAGTCATATAAACAAGAGGGATTTAGAATTTTACTTTTCTCCAGAGAATCTCATCAAGATAAGTGTATTGAGGCAGAAAGAGCGTGCATTGAGAAACAATGACGTTGCCGGACGTCATGAAACCAAACGGTGACAGCGCCGGGTGATCATATAATGCATTTTTTATTTAATGATAATTTGGCAAATAATCAACATATCAAGCTGAAATTTTCAACACTTCTTCAACTTTTGTTGTTTTATGTTCCCTATAAATTTTGTAATCAACGACTACATAGCATTAATTTTATCGCATCAGTCCACGAACTTTTTGATAACCCCTCGTATATCAATCCAGGCATCAAATTTTTGTGTTATTTATCCTTAAAACCTATTTTTTTTTATCTAGACGTGGGTCGGGGCTTGAACCCACAACGCTGTCTGGGAGCAAGCTTTTTACAGACTGACAGGGAAAAAGGAACAATGCTTCCCATTACATAAAACTCTTCAAATTTAAGTACAGGTAAAATTAGTTTATTTCACTAACGTGGTATAAATTCAATACATAAATGTACTATAATGCTACATTCTAAATAAACCGGTGATTTAGTAGTGTTAAAACTTAGAATACACCATTTAATACATAAATACCTTTGAATGAATAGTAAAATTAATAAAAGCATAATTAAGAGACATAAATTATAATTAAAAGTTTCTTTCAAAGTGTATAAATTAAATCTCAAAAATAATAATAAATAAAAACACATCACTAAAATACAAATTTCGGAATTCTATTAGACTACACATTCCTAAATATGGCATAATGTTTGAAAACAATTTTAAAGATCTATAAAATAAGTACTGTTCGAGGATTTTACTTTTATAATCATAGGTTAAGATAAACAAAAGTAATGCAACCACAGTCATCTATCAAACAAGATTTCCCGGCTTTGTGGAATAAAATATGCAATTTACACATGCTACATGAAAGTAAAAAAAAAAAGAATCATGCATATTTTATGATGATTACCTATCGTATACGTACTGACTTCTTATGTATTGATATTTAGTCAGACAATGCTCTTTAAATATATACAAGTGAAGGTATCGATAATACACATTGTATAATTATGTAAAACAAACGTGTATTACGAAATTCTTGTGATCCTACAAGAGGATTATGAAATGTGAATAATCATAGAATAATGTTCTTTGATATAATTTGATTCTCTAATAAATGTTCTTGTCATGGAGCTTTATAAGCAGACATGTGGAGAGTTCTATAATATATTCCTTTCTGTTGGTATTGAGGCTGTTTGTCATACATATTATAATTATACATTTTTTTTCCTCCCAAAGAGTCTAGAGTACGTCTTAAGCAGAAGTAAGAAATTATACGCTCAAAAATCTGCATGTTTACGTACGCTCGCATAATACATGTACTTAACAACTTGAACAATATTCATTAGGAAATATTTTCTAACAACAATCAAAACTAATATTTTTTAAAAAGATGGGTTTCTCAACACGACAGAAACGGAAATAAGCCTATCAGAGTTCACCACACACATAACAGGACTAAACAGACACTTCATTATTTTCTCCTATACTAGTTGACTACTATGCTGGCAAAACCCACCCCACCCCCTCAAGAGTCCTTTGAATACACCAGGATGTAACATATTAAAGGCAGTTTCTAGAAGTCCACCATTACGAGGTACCTCATCATGTTCTGGCTCTCCCTATAAACAAGGTACTCGCTCTGGCTAAAATTGCTCTTGTTAGCGTACTCCGGCTGAGAGAGGGGTACCCCCTGAGGTACAACGACATCCTTACCGTCCAGTTTGATCTTTGTGTTCTTATTTGGATCTAAAATCAAAACTTTGGCATTTTAATTCTGAAATCAGTTGATTGTATTAAGACAAAAGTAGTAAAATTAGGAAAAAACAAAACAAAACAAAACAAAAAAAAAAAAAAACAACAAACAAACAAACAGAAAAATTCGGTGGAATTTAAACAATATAAAAATAATTTTAAAGTCATTCTTTCTTTCGAAATTAAAGCATATCGACCGAACATGAAGTACGAAACTGATATATGCTATTTTCTGTGATGTCAAAATATTTATGGATTGGTTACATGATGACGCCATTAGTCAGTGTTTCTTAGTCCTAATCATAATATAAAAGTACTGGATTTGAGAGTTAGGTTGTTACAGTTATATCTTTGTTATATATTTTTTTTATATTATAAATTGAGAAATGATCTTGGTGAATGCAGCCTAAATATTCATTAGACCTGTATATTAAGTTAATTAATTACTGTCCAGCCACAGAATTATGTCGGGTTGATCATGTTTAAGTATATAGGGAAGATCTTATAAAATTTGTGTTCTCTCTCTCTCTCTTTCTCTCTCTTACCAGGCTCAGTCCATCCCTTCGCAATGATACAGTCATGCCCAGCGGGCGCTGCTTTTAAGGTCCAATCATCTCGCGTAATGTGGTGCTCTTTTCCCAGTGCTACTTCATTCAAAAACATTATACCAGTTTTACCAGCACATTGCACTGAAATGTAGATTAGAATAGCATATTAAAACATGACGAAGATCTTCATCCCTTCAGAATACACGTAACAGTTTTGAATTTAATAAAATATGAACAGAAGTCTTAAAAGGTGGGTTCAACTGGAAATGTAATATAACCTTTCAAGTTCAATGTTCCATTAAGTCCCATCCTATACTGAAACACAGCTAGTTAGATTATTCTTTCTAAAACTTACCATACCCGGCGGATTTGCTGTTTTCGGAAGCAAAATAAATTCCGCTTCCGACACGCCCACCACTGTGGGGCATGATCCGCAGGCCGCTCTTTAAGATGGCCGCTACCACCGCCACATTCGTCCCGTGCCACAGAAGTTTTCTGTTGGTAATTTTATCATGTGCTTTAAATCGTTTTTCCTGTAATTTAAAACACTTTTGTTGAATCTGTTTTCAATTAAATTTTTATTGAATTCCGAGAGTAATTTCGTTACTACATATGTAAAAATGTCTTATATTTAATTTTCATTTTTCTTTCGATGAAAACTTTTTTCTCTGAAAATGCAAATACATGTATGTCATGCATCTTTTCTTTAAATGCGCAACCACCTTGTAAAAGATTAAGTTTATTTTTCATACCTTTCAACTGAAAAGTATCATAATCTAAAAAATGTAATGTTGGAGGTAAGAATCTCTTACAGTGGTACACTGTAATTTAGTAATAAGCACTAAGTTGTATATACGTATACTGGTAATATAATAATAAATACATCATGTACTGATAATTTAGCAATAAGTACTACAAGTACTGGTAATTTAGTAATAAGTACTACATGTACCAGTAAATTAGTAATTAGTACTATATACTATATGTACCGGTAGGTAATCATAATGGACTCCACAGTCCCATTAACTATACTATAGTATGAAGTCCTCTCCCTCTCACTCCTTACCTCCCCCTCCCTCCGCATGGACCAGATGTGTTTGATTTTAGGCACCCTCCAGCCCCCTTTGTTTCCAGTCTCTTTTGTATACGTCTCCAAAACCTGAAAATATTCAAATAACAAGTCTCTTCACTGATTTGCTGGAGATATAAAAAAGGAGATGGGTGAACATGGCGAGCGATAAGCCTATAGTGTGACAAACATGAAGTTAAAAAATTAAATTTCAATTAAATCAAAATTTTCCTTGATATTTCGTCTAACACTAAAATATACTTTATTGAAAATCTCTACAATTTGCAAAAATCCCTCAAAGATTAAAATTATTTGCCTGTGAAATATTAGACACACACAAAGCGGGCATAAAGAGTCATTTTCTCATATTCTAATACTTTTTTTCGATATGAGTGGGTCTTCGCTCCACCTTTTTGAAAGTTAATCCTCAAAGTTTGCATAAAAATATACATTTTTTGGTTACGAAAAATATGGAGCAATGACCCACTATACCTTAAAAATATACTTTTATGACATAATATTCGCATCTTTTCGAAGTCCATTAAGTCAAGGTCATATCACAAACATGATTTAAATGCCACTATTTATCAGGACTTGTGTAGTCTAGTGGTTAGTGTGCTAGTCTCGAAAGAAAATGATACTCAGGATTTTTATTGCTAGGGTTCGAACCCCACGAATACCACATTGATTTTTTTAATAAAAGAATAAAATTTTCCCGAGAAAATTTTCCTAAGGAAAGTTTTGTTTATGATAATTTCTTAAATTTCAATAATGAGAACTTTACTCTAAATACTAAATTCACAAAGTGAACATGATTTTTATATATCTGAAGCTGTAGGCTTTCTGCACGCTATGTTCGCCCATCTCCTTAAGTTATTTTAAGATTTAAATGTGTAAGGTCAGGTATAATATGTAATTAAATAAGTTAAATATATGTAGTTAAATTGTGTTTTAAAAATATTTCAAAATGATAGTTTTTATTTGTGTGTGTGTTTACATATGTATTTGTGTTCAAGTTTGTTTATGCATGTTGCAGTGTGTCTATGCGTGTGAGGATGTGTTTGTGTGTGTTACCTTATATTCCTTGGATTTGGGGTCTAGATGTTTGAGTTCACACTTCAGTAGATTGTAATCAACATCCAGGGGATGAGGCTGCTTTTCAGATTCCTTGATTTTTTAAAAGAAAACAGATTCAACGATATATATATATATATATATATATATATATATATATATATATATATATATATATATATATATATATATATATATATATATATATATATAATTCTTTAATATTTTCTCATCCAATAAGATTTTTTTCCTCCTAATAAATGGACATAAAAGAAAAAATACACACCGATGCGACTTTTTCTCTTTCCTTTTCAAGAGTCTGTGCAATTTCTATGTCGCCCAAAACCTTTTTAAAAAAGGAAAGCATATTACAATACACGTTTTAACTTCCGATTTTAGCATGCAGATGTTCGTCAAGGCTTCCAGAATAGACAAAAGGGAATGCTCACCAACAACATGTCGTATTTCTGACGAACAGCTTCTAATGTCCTCATTACAGGAGGAACTCTCCTCCCAAAATCATGGGGGATAACTGTGTAAAACTTGGAGGACAGTTCCATCATTTTTGTATTATTTCTTGAATCTATTGCTTTTTCTAGCTCTTCCAGGACCTCGAATCCCTTAGCGATTTGTGTTTTGCTCAGTTTTCCTAATGGCATTTTCTTTACATCTGATGGAGTAAGAAATGAAATCATTAATATGAATCCACAGTCAAAGGCCAATCATTCTGAAATAGAATAAGGTCTCTGTCTTCGCTGAAATCACAAAATGCATGTACGTCATATATTTCATAATTTTCTTCTTCTTTAGTTTATTTTTTTTTTATTTTGATAGTGTGTTTAGTAATATCATTTTCAACTCATCTATATACAGATACTGATACATAAATGTTTATTTCTTAAAAGATTTTTACATTATATTTACCAATGTCAAAACTCTTCATTGCGTCCTTGAACATATCATGATCAAAGATGAGTTTCAGGAGGGACTGGGTGGGTGCGTCCAGTGTACACTTTTCTGTCGGTCCGGAGGACTTCGATTTAACCTATAGACAATTAACAATAATCCATTGACTTTGATAGAACTTTTTTTTCGTAACATTATTGGATGAACTTTGTTTGAAATATATATATTTTTTGACTTTCAATGAACATTTTAAGCTTTAATACATATGGGGGGGGGGGGGTCAAAATTAGCAAAGGGACAAGAGCAAACGGAAATGAAAACTCTTTTTATAGATCAAATCTGCTCCTTAGATAATTAATCACCCAGTGTGAAAACATTAATTTTTTGTGGGTTTGATTTTGTTTTCCTGGTATGATGATATACTGTCATATTGTAATTTTTGTATTTACTACCACCCGGTAAATTCAAAAATTACAATATGACAATACATAAGAATATGTCGTCTACGAAATTTTTAAAATTAAAACGGAAAGTATCATATATGTGCAAGTCTTCAACCACAAAAAAAAATCACAAACCAAATTACTAGTATTTCCCTCAGAGCATGAAAATTTGCCCTATAAAATATGTGATTTTACAGCCATCCTGAAAATTATTTCTTAAGAATACAGGAACACCCCCTCCCCCCAACTTCGGTCTGGTAACACATGTACACTTACTTCAACAGGGGCGTCTGTCTCGTCTTCGTCCTCCAGAGACATTTCAATCATTGTATACTTCCCTTTCACCGGAGAAAAAGAGTCCTTGTTGTCCCATTTATTTTTAGTCTTGTCTTGGAACTTTTTGGTGAAATCCTTGATTGCAGCATCGGCTGTGTTGAAAGGTCCTTTCATTGCGTTGGCACCTGCCTCACCCTATTTAACAAACATTAATGAAATTTTATACTTGCTCTCAATTAATTGTAAATCATAAATATTTTTACCGTAAATATCTTTTACATTTGAGGATTTCAATTGTTCTTCTGTCGGTATATTTTCGGACTTTTGCTGCATGTTGCTCACCGTCAAGCAACGAGACATGAAATAAGCTTAACCTAGATACCATATATGCACCATGCAAAGACTCTCTGCAAAATACGGTCTTTCAAATGCTATTTAACTTCAGTCTGATCTACAGCAAACAAAAGGCCTTTGAAAAATTGCTGAGAAATGCTTGATAAAAAATTATATACAACCGAGGAAAGTTTATATTTTTGATATCATTTCAATAAAGAACTGTTTGGTACAGTATTGCGCGATTACAAGGATTGTAACAATGTAATAACAACGCAAAATGTAATAAACCAGGATTATTGCATTTTGCGCGTTATTACATTTTGCGTCGATATCAACGCAAAATGCTAAACGCAAAATGTAAAAGAGACTTTTTAGGAATTATAATTTGCATTATTACATTTTGCGTCGAGATTAACGCAAAATGTAATAACGCAAAATGTAACAATACGATTTATTACATTTTGCGTTGTTATATTTTGCATCGCGCAGCAAAATGCAACAACCCAAAATGTAATAACACACCTTTCGTTCAGTCAGGTTGAGAATCCATTTTCAATTGAGTTGTGGATGAAGAAAATAAACGGAAAGAAAATAAAACAAAAGGAAAAATAAACATATGCTTAATTTTTCATTAGATCTGATTTAAAATCAGTTGATATTCAAATCTAAGGTGTTGCAAATTGGAAACGAGGGTGCGCACGTGTGTGTGGGGGTGGGGTTAATTTCGTTGATCAGTGTATCAGTTTGCTTTTACTTTTTGATAGGCACATGCATGAAAATTAGGAAAGAAATCTATTTATTTTTACTGGCAGATGTAAATATAGTTGGGAGGGGGTTTCTTGTCAATTAAGATTTCATACTGTTTTACAAATCATTGTGCATTGCAGACCAGGAAAAGTAAAATTCTCTCTCTCTCTCTCTCTCTCTCTCTCTCTCTCTCTCTCTCTCTCTCCAATAATAAAATGGATAGTTTCTGCATGCGCATAAAAATACAATGATACACATACGAAGTAACCCCCCATCTCCGCTTCTCCTCGCCAGACACACACACACACATACGCTTCTAACCTGCTAACCAATGTACACATGCACGTCGTACATGCATATATGGACCCATGGTCAATGTTTGTTAATTAAGAATGTCAGTGATGAATATATAATACAGACAGATTGTAAATAGACATGTCAATCAAAGTTAAGTTAATGTTTTAAAAGTATTAAATCAAAATGTTAGAAACAAAGTAAGAAAAATATACTATTAGATTTAGTAACGCACGTTTTTGTTGAATACAATACAAAAAAAAAATAGTATTTTGTTATATTACATTTTGTTTTATTACATTTTGCGTTGTCCTCAACCCAAAAATTGAGTAAAGCAAAATGTAACAACCAAAAAGTGCATTATTACATTTTGCGTTAATCCCAACGCAAAATGTAATAATACAAAAATAGTGTTGTTACATTTTGCGTTATTACATTCTCGTTGATCTCGACGTAAAATATAATAAAGCAACATTTTGCGTTGTTATTACATTTCGCGTTGTAACAAAACATCAAAGCATACATGTATTAACATGCGCGGATCTAGAGGAGGGTCCGGAACCCCCCCCCCCCCCCGGAATTTGCAGAGTCAAGAAATTTTCTGGGTTTCATACGTTTGGAAAAGGAGTTAAGTTTTTTTTCCCTTTTTTTTTTTTTGCTTGTCAGGAAATTTCTGGGTAAGAATTTTTTTTTGACTGGGGTGACACCCCTCCCCCTGTAAAAAAAAAAATTCTGGATCCACGCCTGTATTTCGACCCCTTCTAAGTGTCTACACTACCAATGAACTTGTAGTAATAAATATGTATTGTACTCACCACTCGTCCCCATCGATTCCAAGCGTAAAAGGTGGGAGAACCAAGCCTTTTCAGGACTTGGATAACGTAATATTTGTTATTATTGTGGCCGATATTTGTTTGGTTCAGCATGCAATCGTAATCTTCAAATACCTGAAAATTCAAAGAACACATATGATCAAATGCACTATAATCGGAACCATATCCTTCCTTCTTTCTCTGATTATTGTGTATTGATGAATTTACTTTTGGAAAGGATCGATAAAGGTACATTAAAGTTAAATAAGAAAAATTTAAAAAAAAAAAAAAAAAAAAAAAAAAAAGAAGACTTTTATAAACTTGTTACTGGTAATCTTTCAACGACACGAAAATGTGGGGAAAAAACAGATAACATAGCATACATGAAGAGCAATCTTACACAATTAAAGAAAACGATAAGCGTTTTTCAAAAATATCTCAGCGACGTACATTTTTTAAGAGAATCTAGATGAAAGCTATATAAATAAACTACCAATGAGGACATCTTTTATCAACAGATTTTTTTCCCGGCGTGGGGCTTCGACTTAGAATAGTACGTGTTGTTTTTCAGTATTGACAAAAAATATTAATATATACATGTAAATAAACAAGCACAAGCTTCATCTTCGTGATCAGAAAAGGAGGGGGAGGGGGCATTTTTCATGCACGGTGAACAAACCGCTTTCCTTTACGTATATATTACTCTTTTTAAACTAACTTACGATGGATTCTAATGGTTCCTGGGGATGGGGGGGGGGGTGTCTGATAACTTTACTAAATTTAATTTTATATATACATGCACTTGTACTAGTAAATTTAAGAATTCGAAATATATATTAGAAGGTGGATCTCCACCCCCCTCCCTCTCTCCGACCCTCTACTGTTTTATTACCTCATAAGTGTTGGCCTGAGGCACGAAGCTATCCACTTTTCTCTTCTTCTTACCAGACTTGTTTTCTGCGGCCTTAAGTTTAGCGATGACGTCCTGCGTGGTTTGGGGTTTATCCTCCTCCTCTGGAGCACTGACTTTGGCTTTCTTTCCTCCCGCCTTTGCTTTGGCAGGTGCTTTTCTCTTGGGAGGCATGTCTGAAAAAAAAGAATACAAGACTTAAGATATCAATTAATATAATCAGGAAGGTAGCTCTGAAAATCATTCAAAAATATGAAAAGAAACTATTAAACCTTTTTTTTTTTTTTAATACGAAACAAATAAAATGTTGTGGCCAATTTATAGAGGAGGAGGGGCTGTATATAATATCCACAGACCACATGTTCTGAGCTGTATATCGTCTATAACAATTTAAATTTATTTAGAGGGCCATCATATTATTATTTTATTTGCTGTAAAGATTACCATCATGGAAAGCAATGCATGTTGTCTCTAGCCTTGTACAAATATTAACTTTCAAGTGAATTTGAAGTAATGATAATTACTATAGATTAATTGTTGTTTTGCGTATAGTATTAATCTCTTTAGAGAAGTGGACTGGCGATGTAGGCGAAAGCCTGTCCACTTCTCTAAAGAGAATACGTATAGTATGTGCGAGAGGGGGAGATTACCTTCATATACACTGTATTTACATACATTTGATTAAGATAAATGTATTGAGTTATATAAAATTTGGCTTGTAAAACATGCAACTTTTTTCACCTAGATAAAAAGATGTTTCATTAAACTTGTGAAGGTGAACATTCATTTCCCAATCTGCATGGCGTAAGTCCAGATATTGACGTTGGTGCATGCACATCCTCGTAAAGTATTTTGCAAAACAAACTGTTCTTCGAAAAACATAATTGAATTGCTGTTGCAAGGATCCCCCCGAATGAATATTAGCTATAGTTGTTTAAAAAAAATATTGACTTTAAAATCGTTGGCTATAGCAGTCTAATAATTTTAATGACTTCATGTGTACCAAGGCGAAAACTAGTTTTCTTGATAGATTATAATAAAACATTGCAATGTATTACTCCTTCAACATGTTCAATTAAGAACCTCGGTTAACGTCCAGGGCTACGCTCGATCCATATACCTCATGCAGAAGTATCTCGCTGTCAACTTCTAGCATGCTGGAGTATGCAATGCATAATACAACTAACATTTGAAATAAGCACTTCAAGGCTTTAACCGTGTTTATATAAACAGTCTTCGGTTGCATATGTACGTGTACATCGGACTACAATAATGAACAAATAAAATGGAAACATACATGACCTGTTACCTGAGTTATATTCCAGAGGCACTTCCCAGTTTATGATTGTTAAAAAATGTATATATCTACTAGTATATATATAAGTAAATATACATTTTTTAACAATTAAGCTGGGAGTGTCTATATGAACTATATTCCGGAGTTAGTGTTGAGCTAGGATACCTGTTTATTAGACTATAATATAAGAATCTGAATTATATATGCGCTGGTTGAACGATGGTGTACACATTCATACCTTGATATATTGTTACAGTTACACGTTATATATATGTATACTTCCCTTTTCGAAATTTAGGCATGCATGTGCGTGCATGCATACTTATAAATTTATTCGTCGGCTATGGGAAAAACGAATGCATAGCGACCATGTCTGTATATTTACTTGATCAATAAGCAAACTTTTACGATCAGAACATAACACGTTATATGCACCGGGACACGCCCCCTTAAATAGGTCACATTTTGTCACAAATTACTTACCTTGCTAAGCAATGATAACAGAATGTAAATGCCACTGCTGATACAGGTAATTGACTGATCGTCGGCCGGTGTATGTATGTATATATATATATAGACTTTGTAAATTGCCTGTTCTTGCTTGTCAGTAATTTGTGGAATTCCCTTACGTTATCGATCGTTCGTGACCCTTTAAATTAAAGATTTTCCTTTCTTACTGTGAGTAAAGAACAGTAGTGTTCCGAATGGCTAGTGATATTGTTTCTATTTTTATTATCACTGAAAGACTGACGATTTATTGATCATCAAGTGGCGGATCCATTATGAATCTGAGAGGAGGAAGCCCAAAACAAACAATTAAACAAAATTGATATTACTTGTATAAAAAAAAGCTAATCTTGTTTTTATTTTTACATTTCTCTGCTTTGTTTGTTTGGATTTTTTTAATGTACTTTCCTTTTTTTGGATCCATGCCTTCACAGCAGTCACGTGATGAAAAAAGTATACTTTAAAGTCATGTGATCACAAAAAAAAAGCAAAAATGGCGGAAGGCGATTCATCAGGTAAGATAATAAACTTTTAAAAGCCTTACTTGCACTGGCTATTCTGACAATCATAATAAATCATGCATATGAAAAAATGACGTACTCATTGCCCGTGCCTTTGCATGCTTTGGCAGCAAACTTAAGATTCCCTGTTTGTGGAGGGTCCTAAATCAGTGAATGGGGTCCCTAAATTAGCAGGTTCAGTAGAATCAGTACCTTGAATTACATACTGTAGCTCTATTTAGCTAATTGAAGTAGCTTTCTTTAGATATACTAGGAAGAAACCCAGAGTAGAGATAATTTAAACATTGCTGCTTTTGAAACTTTAGCAAAAGATGTATCCCTCAGGTAACATCCTGCATTCAAATCACGAACCTAAAAAAGTTTTGGTTTACAAATTTCCAAGGAAAAGAAACGTAGATTACATTGACAATGACTAGAAAGTTGAAAAAAAAAACAACAACAAAAAACAAAAAACTGAGTAGTGTTTGACATTTAAGGATGACTGGAATGTAATCCGAGATTCCCCTGACTCTAACCCCTGCTTTTATATTTTGACATGTGCAGGGGCATGTGCACATGTCAAAATATAAAAGCAGGGGTTAGAGCCAGAGGAATCTCGGATTAATTGGAATGAAGTCCATTAAATCATAAAATTTGTCCTTTTTTAGGAGGAGTGTTACCTCAATGCAAAATATTCCTTGTTGCATGCACATGTATTACATGCATCTAAAATTATTCACCTTGCATTGTTTTAGGGAGTGTGGAAAACATTCAGAAGTGGGAGAAGCTGGCATCGGACGGGGATGAAGCGAGTCAGGTTCGGTTAGGCGAGCACTATCTAAAGCTTGCAGACTCAGGTTCTGAGGAAGATCGACAAAAGTACGGGAAAGTAGCTGTCACTTGGCTTATTGAGGCTTCCAAACAAGGAAATGAGAAAGCAGATGAACTCTTGAACAAATGTCTCCAAACTAAAACAGGTATAAATAGGCGAAAAGGATAATTTTTGTGTTATAAAGTATTATACCATATAGATTGAGACATAAGTTTTTAGGTGTTAAAGTTTGCATTCATATTTTCCTTGGTACTGTAATAATGATTTCATACAAATGTCAATATGGTCCACAATACACTCCACAATGGTGTATTCATAAACATGAAAGATAAGAGATATTCAAGTTATTTTCCCAATATGTATATGAACTGTGATTTCTGGTGGATAACCATACATATAGGAGATGAAAAATATGTGAGTATAATAGCTGGCACATTATATAAACATGTTTCAGAGATCATTATGAAAAATCTATTCCTGTATGAAATTTTAAATTACTGTCTGATATATATATCGCTTTAAGAAATAATTCATTGAATTTCCATGTCCCCTAAATTGACAATTTTTGAAAATTTCATTGAATTTAGAGAAGTAAAATGCAGAAACCATATAAATTCATACTATATTAGTTTGTATAGGCTTAATGAACATAAATAAATGTGACAATGTAGATACAGTTGAACTTCGGTATTTTGAATACCCTGTGTATGTCAAAGTGAATTTGAAGTCCCTTACCCTGGATATCTCGAATCCTCGGATATCTCGAAGTTTGTTCTCAGTCCCATTGAGTTCTAGATAATGAGGTTTGAATGCAATTTGTAAAGAAGCAAATTTATCCAAAAATAAAAAAAAAAAAGCAAATTAAAAGCATAAAATAAAGATAAACTTTGAAATGGTTTTGACAAGAAGTGTATAAAACTTGTATACATTTTTGCATAAAATCCTTTCGTTTTTTTTTTCTGATTGTCATTATATTGGTTTGTTTTTCCTTTTTGAGCTTATTATTTTCCTGAGCGTTTTTAACCTAAACCTGTGACAGTCATAATAGTGTAAAACACATCGAAAACAAACAAGTACATATATTACTATGTAGTATTTATGCATCTTCTACGAAAATTGCTAGAATATGATTTCTTTGCTTTACCTGTATAAGTCTACCTGACTTATGAGACCATTTAAGAATTTCCATTGATAAGTCACTTAAATCAGGTTTAACTACTTGCTTAAATTTTCATTGAAGTAATATAAGACTGAACTGATTCCAGGTGTGGATGATTCCAACAGAGAGGTAATTGACTGGTGCCTCGAGACCTCAGATGTTGAGAAAAAGATTCGTCGAGCTGCCAAAAATATGTTCCGAGCCATAAACGGCACTCAGAGGGAAGTTCTGTCTCGTGCTGATTACATAGAATCTGTGAAAAAGCTTGCAGGGGGTGATAAACTGGAGGAGAAACTGCTCCTGGCAGCAGGTACATGTTCAGAGATCATGTAAAACAAAGATATACACATGTATCACTGCATGAACTCCCCAAACCACTATGATATATTTTGTATCTTCTCCTCTAATGCAGACTGAGTTTGTACATGTAGGACCAGGAGCACATGAAAATGTAGAACAAGAATAATGTGCACCCAGATAAAAATGCAGGCACTGCTACACTTTATTTCAATTTTTGATAATAATACGAACTTGAACCAACAAAGGTTATTTTAACTTTACAATTAATATTTCAGCAACATCTAATCTATCTACTCTGTTCTCTTTATGTTTCCTTTTCTTATACCAGACAAGTATATATTAATAGAAAGTGCGATATACACACTAATCTTCTGTTTATAGACTTTATTTCCAAAGATCATGGTTATGCAGATTTTCATCCTTACATGTAGTTTTGCATTAAAGCTAAAAAAAAAAATCCAAGCCTAATTTCTTTTAAACCTATTAAATGCATCCAACTTAATTATTTCATATGCAAGTCACTTTATCTTTACCTAACTAATCAGGGTTGCAGATAACATTTAAAAAACATCAGTTCTTTTTCTGTTGATTTTGACACCCTTTATATAAAATTCCACATTTTCTTTCACTTCAAGACCTCTTATAATGTTGGCATGAAAATATTCAATAGGTAGAAAATAATGAAAATCAAAGTGTGTTTTAAAGTAGAGACAAAACAAGGTTGGGTACTGAAAAAAATTCTGATAAATCTTAACTCGCCATGTGGGCGATAAATTCTCAAGAGTTTGTCAGACAAAGAAAAAATAACATGTACTCCCATTGGTGCATTAACGAGTGGTTATTTGCAACCTTACCAATGTCTATATACATACAGTTTTATGTTGTAACTAGAATTTTGCACCTCAGAGTATCAGGATAGGAAAATTAAGATGATCAATTAATCAATTAACATGGTACATTAAAAATTTATTAAAACTTTCTTTTTCAGGGAAGAAAATTGGTGATACGATCAGTGAAACAGAATTTGTCAAAGTCCTGTCAAAGAAGATTCAAGGGCAGATAACTCTATCTCCTGATGAAATGGGTGAAGGCTCAGTTGAGTACAAGCATGCTGGTCTGTATGAAAAGGTATGCTCAAGATACATATTACATAAAACAAAAGTAACTGTAATATAGAATAAATATTGCTCAGAGCTGTTTACACAAAGGCCTCTTGTTAATGGGAAGGGATCAAGACCTTGGTTTTTTCCTATATTTTTATATCTGGCTGTTATTCTGCCACCAGTTGTTGGAGGAGGGTGAAAATGTAGGTCTACCTAAACTAGGCACTTATTGCTATTTAGCAGTGAGAGGTCTTTATTTGTGCTAACATACACTGCAGCATGGGATGTTGGTTCATACAGTCTCATATTAAGGACTGAGCTCCACGTCCTGCAATGGATGCAAACCCTTGATGTGAGAATCGACTCCTTACTCCGTGATTCTAGAACATTCTAACCACACTAGCACATTTGCAACTTAGTGCTATGATATTTTAAGAGTCTCACTAATTCTCAGTCGTATGGTCAGGTGACAGTGATCTGTATGATGTAAGAGGTACATGTAGTTACTGCTGGGGACCTGCTCTCTCTTACTGAACCTGTAATATCAATAAGGCATTATCATTTACTCATTATGACTTAGGGTTACACATATAATTGGTTTACTCATTTGATAATGGTTCTGTTCCTTTTAATTCTAGGTGGATGAAACTTATTTTTTAACAAGAATAGTTAAACTAAATTCAAGTATACATGTATAAGTTAACATCTCAAGATATATTTTTCAGCTTTATATTGAAGGTTTTTTCCCTCTCTTTAGGTAACCAGATATCCAAAAGAGACAGCAGTTGCCCTGTATGAGACTGGGTTAGAGTATGTCTCCAAAGAAGGCCTGGACTTTGTGATGAAGATGATTCCCACCAATCAGATTTACCTCCTCTCAGTCTTCTTCCTCTACAGCTTCATCAGTGCTGCCCTCATCTTCCAGGTTGTCCCCCTTGTCATATTCTACCTCACCCTGGGAGTCATGGGGGTCACAACACTACAGATGTTCTACAAGAAGAGGAAACTGAAGGAAGCAAGCAAGCTTGCTGATGTGCTTAAGACATACGACGTTGGAGTTGACGTAGAGCAGACAAAGTCTCAGTTCACATGGAACTCTTTGACACCGTATCTAGTCTTTTTTGGTGCTCTACCTTTAATGGTGGTCAGTTTTTCACTTGCAAACAAGAGTTACGTCCCTTGTTCTGAAATCTGTGTTCTTTGCGGAGCCCTCTCAGCCGTGTGCTTTGTTGCCCTTAGTGATCATTATGATTTACTGACATTGTTGTCTCTTTTTTGCAATCTCCTGTCTGCCTTACCAACTTTCTTTCATCATTTTCCACAAATACCAGTTTTCACAACACTACTTCATATTTTTACAGATGCAATATTTACTATAGATTGTGGATCAGGGTTTAAGATCCATTTTGGAATCCCATCCATTGCTTTTCTGTTGATCCCTCTTATCTTTGTAGTAATGGCAGCACAGAAGTCCTGGAAAGGTGTGTACAGAGTTCTTGTTCCACACCTTGTCTGTTATTTCTGGTTCAACCTCATGTTAAGTTTCTTTCCATTTTCTTCTTGGAAAGGCTTGATAAGAGCCACACTGGGCTATTTCCTCTTGCCATTTCTGATCCCCCTTGCTTTGTTGCTAATTGCTGGAGGCATCATCTATATGTTTTACAGTCTCCTCCATACACAGATATTTGGAAAGCTTCTGATCACTTTGATCTTTGCTGCAGTACCTTTGTTGATGACCCAGACAAAAGTCTTTGTTGGAAAGAAGTTAGAAAGCAAAATGAAACCTGTGAAGATTGCCATAATGGTTGTATTTGGTGTTTTGGCAATCCTCCCGCTAATTTTTATCCGATTACCTACAACAAAAAGCCCAAAACCATTTAATATGTCTTTTTCAGAATATATGGATTTTTGTGGAGACAATGAGCTTGATAAAAGCTTTAAATGTCTACACCTTCAAGGACAAAAAGTTACATGGAATGGGGAATTTGCACGTGCTGAAATTAAGAGTGTAACAAATAACATTGAGCCGCTCCTGAGTGCATTTCCTGTTTTTATTGCAAACGAAATTCGTTGTTTATATGGACAAAGGTTTGGAGATTGTGACGATGTGAATAAAACAGAATCAGAGCACAAACTGTGTAGAACCATGGATGATCTAGGTCACGAATGTCATCTGAGGAATCTGGACACGTACACATTTGAAGTTTACATTACAATGCCAGATTATGTAACAGCAGAACTAGATGCAGGTCACAGTTTCAGAGAGACATTGTCAGCTTTGCAAACTAACGACAAAGTAGAGTTTACTGGTACACTGATAAAAGATCTTGGCACAAGGAACCCAAAACTGGCACTGAGACACATTACATGTACCAGCAGGCCGCTAGACCTGATGATGGATCTGGAAGAGGAGAGCGTAGAGGAGATGGTAAAAAGGGAACTCAATAATGCCATCACTGTGACCTTTAATTTCTTCTGGTATCCTCTAGTGGAGTATGCACCTTAAATTAGTCTCTGTGAAATCAGAACTCAATAACGCCATCACTGTGACATTTAACTTCTTCTGGTATCCACTTGTGGAGTATGCACCGTAAATTTGTCTCTGTGAAATCAGAACTCGATAACGCCATCACTGTGACATTTAACTTCTTCTGGTATCCTCTTGTGGTTTATGCACCTTGAATTAGTCTCTGTGAAATCAGAACTCAGTAACGCCATCACTGTGACCTTTAACTTCTTTTGGTATCCACTTGTGGAGTATGCACCTTGAATTAGTCTCTGTGAAATCAGAACTCAATAATGCCATCACTGTGACCTTTAACTTCTTCTGGTATCCACTTGTGGAGTATGCACCTTGAATTAGTCTCTGTGAAATCAGAACTCAATAACGCCATCACTGTGACCTTTAACTTCTTCTGGTATCCTCTGTGAAATCAGCTGATTTCAGTAGCTCCATTCAATTCTTTGGGTACATGTATATGCACCTTTGTGTGAATCCGGAACTCAGTAACTCCATCACTCACTTATAACTTCTTTTGGTGTATTAGTCTGTGTGAAACAAGGGCATGTATGTTTTTTTTTTTAGTTAATAAATTACTGTTGAATTCTCAAATGTATGTAAATTGAAAACATCATCAACAGATGCAAAATACACATTTATAAAAGATGAAATCATTGAAATTTAGCAAGAACAACCACTGGTCACAATGAACACTTGGATATGCATAAGAAAAAAGTTGATGCGGTTTTTTTTATTCGCAGTAAATGTGTACTTGTGTATATTTATTTGGATGTAGGCTTAATTTGGGAAATTGACAGAGTATTATTCAGCACTTGTATAATAGTCTATTTGTTACAAGGTGTAATGCTATACTTCATAGAATTTTATTTACAAATATTCTTAAATACTCTTAGAACACAATATTGTTAGCTTTTGAAATGTTATACATTTATATCAAATACACATTTATTTATATTTTATCAAACATTAATATTTATATTAATATTATGTTTTCCTTGAATACTTTGTTTTTTTATATGATTTTTATTTATCATTTAATATTGATTTTTGCCTCACTTTATCCCGTTTTTATTTTTTTTTTTTACATTTCATAAATGTAAAGCATTTGAAGGAATGTTAATTGTTTGAAATGTAAGTATATAAAACAAATTAGACGTAAGAAAATAATATAATGTAAACGCAATGCGCCTGAGACCACGGTCATTCATTTTTTGAAGCATTATCTTTAGCTGTTGTTGAGAACCTATATACTCCTAAACAGAAACATGTATATTAAGCCGATTAGTATTGTATACAGGGTTATTTTCGCCCCGTGTATTTTTTTGTCTTTTCACACCTGAATCAAGTTTGTGCCATTTTAATTATGTCCAGATTATGTTAAAGGGATAATGCTGTCGTGTTTGCATTCGCCCTATTTTAAATTCGTCCACTTGCATAGAAGGAAAAAGTGTCGAAAATATCCTGTATACAATACTTTTAAAACTTTTTGCCCCTAGAGATGGAGGATCGCAGGGTATTTTTTGTTCTGTCTGTACCGTCCTAGAATACATATGGACAAATACTTTGAAAATTGATTGAATTACACTAATTTAAAAATTGCAGATTTTATTGCAAACTTTATAGTCTTCATTAGCAGAAATTGATCGGTCTTGTTGTTGTGTAACGGTTACTAAAAATGTTACCTGATTTTGGAAATGAGTATAATTAACAGATCATTTTGACAAAATTTGTGTATGATCGAGTTTCTCATGAATCCAAATCAGTCTCGTATGGATTCACAATATAAAAGTTCCAAGCGTGCGATGTTTAGAGTGTACCCCAGGGGGAGGGGGTGTTAATAGTCTTATTAAGGAAAGCTCTTGTTCTATCAGCTTTTTCGATTCCTCATTGTAATGAACCCATTTAAGGTCATTTGTCTTTCAGGAATAATGTTAAATTTTGCATTGTGCCATATTTGAAGTGTTAATATATTTCCTGTACACGTTTTCTGTTAAATAATGTACAAAGAAGCTTTGTTAATATTTATTTTACGTATCTGTATCTACTTGAAATTCATAATCTGCTGGTTTGTGAGGCCCTCCCTAGTGAATTTAGCTGTACATGTACATCTTGCCAGTAACTTTAAATTTTTGAGGCTTTTTATGAACTCTTACTAACCAAAAAGTTATTGTATTGCATATCACTCATGACTGGTTATTACACATGTATATTTCCTATCATACATGGCATAGAATGCAATTAATAAAAATGAAATACCTGAATTGACTATCGGTTTAAGTTTCAGTTTCTGGAAGAAAAAAGGCGGTGTACTTGTATACAGAATGCTACGACTGTTTTTCTTACCAAATGATAAACAACACAACTGAATGTATTTCGTCTGCCAGTTTTGGTGCTACAGTTTTATTAATATCTCGTGTCTGTCCTGGAAGTCACGCAGGGGTACTTCTTGAAAAATGTCACTTATAGAATTTTACTTCTGAACATGTAGTACACAGTAATAAACACTACTTTTTAAAAAATCTCTAGCTGTTGTTGGCAGAACACATTTTTTAAAGAAAAAAAAAGTCATTTTTAAAGGATATAGAATCCTGAGTTACTTCTCTTTCTACGCAAATAAAGCGAAAACTTGAACGTGCTTTGAAACAGAAGAAAATAATTTTCAATTAAAGATAAATAAAACAAACTTTTTTTCCCAGAAATCAGCAATATTTCTGATAGATTTATAATAAAATAGATAACCCGAATAATGTTTGCCAAGTAAAGTGGGAAAATTCTGTGTTAAAAGTGGGTGCAAAGTGTTTTGTAGAATATAGAAAACCACACAAAGTCAGTCGCATATCAGAGCACCAAAGAAAACTTATGATTTCTTTATATTTAGGGGATTTATTATTTCTTTCATTTCTATTCAAAATCAGTTTTAAAAAATATATCAATCCATGCATTAAGTTTGTTTGACGTGTTATGTGTCCTTTAATAAACGAGCAACCATTTTTACTGGAAAAATGAGACAAAAGAGCTAACATTGATACTTGCAGTGCATGCCTTTATCTGTTGCAAGGATCGAGAGGTCCAAATTTTCCATTTGTATTGTATAATTTACCATTTGTATTCTATAAATTTTCATTTGTATTGTATAATTTAACAATACAAATGGAAAAGTATACAATACAAATTGAAAATTATACACAAAAAGGAAGATTATACAATAAAAATGGAAAATTTTAGAATACAAATCGAAAATTATAGAATACATATAAATATTATACAATATATTATATTATATATATTATACAATACAATTTAACAGAGTAGAAACCATTCTAGGCATCTTGGACCATGACATTGTCTTTGCTGAAATAGATACCAACATCTTAAAGAAACCCCAAAAGCCACGAAGAATCCCCTTATATCACAAAGCCAGCTGGGATTCAATGAAAGAAGATATGACATCAACTCTCAACACAATAACAATGATGGATGATGATAATCATAGTGTAGATGAAATGTGGGAGTGCGTTAAAACCAACCTGGAAAAAAGTATAAAACAAAATATACCACATAAAGATGCCAGAACTAAAGATGGTCTACCATGGATAACACCAGAACTCAAGAAACTCATCCATAAGAGAAATAGACTATACAAAAAGAAGAAGAAATCTGGAGATAACAGAGATAAAGAACACTTCAAAGAAATTAAGGGGAAGGTACAAAGAGGGTTAAGAAGAGCATACTGGAACTACATCGAGGGAATAGTAACACATAAAGTAGAAAATGACCAATATAGTGGCCTAAAACGCTTTTGGACGTATATAAAACATCAAAGAACTGACAACAATGGAATTTCACTGATACGCAGTGAAGGAGTGCTACATGCCAATCCCATTGACCAGGCAGATGTTCTGAACAAACAGTTCCAGTCGGTATTCTCAGAGAAGACGCAAATCAGTACTGAAGAATTCATGCGCGACTGTCCTATGAGTGGAAAGTACCCAGTTGCTCCAGATCTGCACATCACCCATAATGGAATTCTAAGACTAATGAAAAATATGAATCCATATAAAGCAGCGGGTCCAGATGGGATTAAACCAAGAGTGCTGAAGGAGTTGGCTGACAGTGTATCCCCCATCCTCACCATCATCTTCAGGAAATCTCTACAAAGTGGAGAGGTTCCATCTGAGTGGCGTAAAGCACATGTCAGTCCGATTTTCAAGAAGGGTGACAGATACAAGGACGAGAACTATCGACCCATTTCCCTTACATGTATCTGCTGCAAGCTTATGGAACACATTGTCACCAGCCATATCATGCAGCATGCTGACCTTAACAACATACTGTACCCACTCCAGCATGGTTTCCGTAGCAAAAGATCCTGTGAAACCAAACTCATTGAGTTTATAGATGACATAACCACCCACATGGCTGCCGGAAAGCAGACAGATGTATTGATTATGGATTTTTCTAAGGCTTTTGATAAAGTTAGCCATAGCCTCTTCATCCATAAACTCCGACATTATGGGATCCAGGGCAACGTGAACAACTGGATTTCTAGCTTCCTCTTTAACAGAACACAAGCCGTAGTTGTTGATGGAGAGATGTCCAGCTATGTTAGTGTCGAGTCTGGCGTGCCCCAAGGATCAGTCCTTGGGTCATGCTTATTCCTTTTCTACATAAATGACATGCCAGAAGGCCTCAATGCCACAGTAAGACTATTTGCTGATGACACTATTGCTTATCTTACTGTCACATCAGAATTGGATACCCAGACACTCCAGGCCGACCTAGATAAATTGGGCATGTGGGAAAGGAGGTGGAAAATGGAATTCCACCCAGACAAGTGTAATGTACTATCGGTCAGCAGGAAGTCCAACCCGATACATCATCAATATAGGCTACATGGCCATACTCTTGAGCACGTAAAGAGGGCGAAATACCTTGGCTGTCTAATAACATCTGACCTGAAATGGAGTGACCACATAAATAACATCTGTGGTAAAGGAAATAAGACCTTGGGATTCCTCCGTCGTAACTTGAACATCAGCTCAACTTCAATAAAGGAGAGCACATACAAATCGTTAGTCAGACCCCTGTTGGAGTACGCGGCACCTGTCTGGGATCCCTACTCCCAAAAAGATATCCATAACCTAGAAATGGTACAACGACGTGCTGCAAGATACGTAAGCAACAGGCATGGCAACAGATCGAGTGTAGACAGCATGATTCAACACTTACAATGGCAGTCACTTGAAGAACGTAGGCGAATATCCAGACTCGTCCTATTTTATAAAATTGTTCATGACGAAGTTGCCATCACCAAGTGCCATCGACTCATTCCATCATTACGTCGATCACGACATACTCATCATAAAGCCTACCAAATACCATCTTGTAAGAGCGATTATCAAAAGTATTCCTATTTCCCTCGTACCATCCAAGAGTGGAATAAACTACCATCAGGGATAGTCTCGGCGAATACACCTGAGACCTTCAGGTCTCAGGTGATCGCCTTCCAGCCATAAATAAGAAATATCATTTTAATCTTTTAACCTTTTAAAGTTTTAATTTGATCATATCATGCGCACCACATTTGCCATAATAATCAGCTTATTGATTGTGGGCAATACTTGGCAGAAGCAGAAGCAATATAAATAAAAAACATACAATACAAATGGAAAATTATAGGATACAAACAAATACAATACAAATAAAAAAATATACATGTACAATACAAATAAAACTTATACAATACAAATGGAGAATTATAGAATACAAATAAAAAAAATTACAATATAAATGAAAAAATATAGAATACGAATAAAAATTGTACAATGCAAATGAAAAATTATAGAATACAGATATAAAATTTTACGATGCAAATGAAAAATTATAGAATACAAATATAAAATTTTACAGTACAAATGGAAAATTATACAATACAAATGGAAAATTATACAATACAAATGGAAAAGATAATATATTGCAACGTTTGACATGCTATACTCAGGGCCATTGAGCAGTGAGTGTTCTTTATCGTGCCAATGCCTACCGTGACACGGGGCCTTGCGATCGGTTTTTTAAAATCTCAACCGAAAGACCCATGACTTTCACTTCTAGTGCTGTGTGTTAAAACAGTTTGGCGAAGGAACAGTCACTACCTATGTTTACGTCTTAGGATTGACCCGGCGCATCGAACACTATGGTGAGAAGAAATTCCAAAATGACACATTGAAACAAAGTGTGACATGAATGCAAAGATTGTCAAGACAACATTAACAGAGAAAAGGTAATGGAAAGGTATGGTGTATCTGCATATTGCATCTGGGGATATGAATGCAAAACAACCTCTGGTTGAATTTCGTGAAATAAATGCAATTGTTATCAGAGGCTCCAAATTTCCACATACATGTACATCTAAAAAGAAGCATGGGAGTCGCAAGATGGATTTATGAAAAACCAGACTGATCTTGTCATGATGATTCAGAGATGAAAAGCTCGGGCCTTCGTTGTGTAAGATTAAAACGAGGAGCATAAGTAAACTCAGACCGCCATCTACTACTCGCAAATTGAAAATAAGACTAGCAAACTCGGAAAGAGGGGGACATAAGCGCATTGAGTACCATGTTAAAAACTGAAAGACACTTGAACTGACATCCAAAGAAAAATTCCAAACACTTGAACTGACATCCAAAGAAATATTCTAAATCACACTTAAGATTCGAATTCAAAGACTAGACACCACAGAAGACCTCGATAAATGAATGGGACACAGGCAAAGACATTTTCTAAAACAAAAGTGTTGAAATCCTAATAAAAAAGATATTAAAATAAATTGAAAGAATTGATATCACTAAAAATACTGGTAGCAAGCTAAGGGAAAAAAAAGCAATTCAAGGATGCAAAAACAAAATTGCAAAGACATTAGCTCCAAAATAAATAACAAATAAATAGCTAGACAAAGAAGTCGATCATAACTGCAGGCAAGAAAAAGAGACTTTTTAAAATGAACTTGCTTAGAAAGCTTAAAAATGAGCTGGCAGCCAATTGAGGAGATTTGAAAACGTATGTAATATCATATAACATCACAAAAACTCTGAGAAAGAGACGATCAGGCTCTGGGGCCATAAACCTTAGATGAGCTCACTTTTGATCTCAGTCTCACTTTTACAAAAGGAATATATAGTGGAAAAGTGAAACTGAGATGAATAGTGAGCTCATCTAAGTTTTATGGCCCCGGATCCTGGTATTGCCAAACCGGAAAAAAGGA